GACCCTTGACTTACAGACGGCTCGACTTACAGACTTTTAGAGTTACAGACTTCTCTGGCTAGCTAGATAGATAGATAGATAGATAGATAGATAGATAGATAGATAGATAGATAGATATCATCACTGCGGGGAGGGGGGCGGTGATAACTTCCTCAATGGCTCAAGGGGGCGTTTCTTTCAAAAAGGTTAAGAACCACTGGTGTAGACGATTGCCACTTGGGGTCCCAATATTGGGACAAAAAGGATGCAAGTCAAATAAATAAATAAAGCATAGAGTTTAATAACTCTCTGAATGAATGAATGCTTTATTACGGTCAAAGGCCAGTAAAACTAAATCAATATAAAATAGATACATATAATTATAGTTTGGTAAAATCAGTCAGGGTAATAAAATTCCAGTAAAACATGATAAAACAACCCCTTCTTTCCAGTTAATAACATCATGTATCCTTAATACAGTGGACCCTCGACTTACAGACGGCTCGACTTACAGACTTTTAGAGTTACAGACTTCTCTGGCCACAAAATTTAGATTCGACTTGCAGCCGGAGAATCGACTTACAGACCAGAAAAAAAACAAAAAACAAAATGGAACAAAAATAGAATAAAAACTGCCAGTTATGGGATTAATCGGTTTTCAATGCATTGTAGGTCGATGGAGATTTGACCTACAGACTTTTCGACTTGCAGCCACCATTCCAATACGGATTAATTCCGTAAGTAGAGCGTCCACTGTATAAGTAAAATCTCAAGCAGAGGTGCTTCTATACCTGGTATTTTCTGCAGCTCACTGGTTATGAATATATATAGAAAGTAAATAGCATCCATAGTATATGTAATAATATAATTTCATTGAAGCAAATTTACTGAATGTTAAGCCACAAATTACCAGCATTGTGCACTCAGAATGAATTATTACATGAAGAAATTAATTCAGTTTTAGTTCACTAGATAGTATTTATTATTCAAATTCATTGTTCATATTATTTTATTTTATTTAAAATTACTGCTAGATCTTGACTTCCCAATACAAGTTGCAGGTAAATGAATTCTGGTTCTGGAAGATGATAATAAGTATTAGAGGTTGTCATTCTACTAGTCTGACCATCTTCCTAAAAGTAATGGTTGTATAGTTATTTGAATCATGACTATGGAATGCATGGCAAAGTTTCTACTGTTTGCCAAACAATATGCAAATGGACCATTGCTTGGTATCATGTCTAGTATGCCTCTTAAAGAAAAAGTACTATGGGGTTGCATTAAAAAAGAATTGATAATGATGTTGAAATATTCCATCATGAGGCACTGAACCATTTTAGTGATCCTACTTTCACAGACAGTAGACAACCACACATCATTGTACCCTTCCTTCTGAGGTGGTGTATGTTTTTTTCTTCTTTTGTAAAGAAGGAAAAGAAAGCAAGCTCTTGAAGGAGGACAGAGATGAAAGGAAGGAAAGGAAGAGGGGAGGAAGGCATGTTCTCTTTTTCTGAAAAGAAGATTATTCCAGGATACAAGGGTCCAAATGCTGAATGGTCTGGCTTAAATCAGGACCTCTGGGCACCCTATTTCTGAGTACTTCATATCAAAAAAAATGACAAAGGTCTGCATAAGCCAGAATTTGATTTGATGGCACATAATTATTGATTAAGCAGAAATTGGTGAACATTCACAGATGGATTGATGCCTACCTATCTCAGACCCTTAAAACTAAATCTATTTGTCTCAACTGGACTAAAACCAATGAAATCAATTCAATTTGTGCTAGTTATTTATTTATTCATTTATTTAATCACACCCTGCTGTTCTTGCAGCAGAGAGACCCAATAATACAAAGACCTTTTTAAAAAAGTATCAAACTGTTCAAATATTGGTTGGTTATTGTAGGTTTTTCGGGCTGTTTGGCCATGTTCTGAAAGTTTTTCTTCCTAACACATTGCCAGTCTCTGTGGCTGGCATCTTCAGAGGACAGGAGTTAGAATTGTTGTGATAAGGAGGGTGAGATGATTTGTCACTGTGATTGATGGGTGTCGTTACCTAGCCTGGCTCCCAGCACTGAAAAATACAGCCTGCAAAGTATGCTGGTAAAGGCAGTTGGACTGAGAGAGAAGAAAGTGTGTTAGGGTTCATCTTCAAGTCCCAGAAATTCCATATGGCTGTATAATTTGGAACTAAAACTGGATAAGCGACACCACAAATCCCGTAATGCAAATACCATAAGACTTGTAAAGATCAACGTGGATGTTCAGATGACAACATTTCCATAGGGGTAGGGCCTATTTTCAGAGGCAAGGGGTTGGCATGTGGTCATGTGAGCCTGATGTTACCTCTGGCAGCCACACTTTAACACTTCAGATGTGACATGGTCAATACTTACGCACAGAGTGGTGGGCTGTTGTCATCTTTCAGTAGGCTGAAGAAGTAAAAATGAAAAGTGAGAGATATTTCTACACTTGCAGAAAGAATAATCAGGAGAGCAATTCCAGGCTGTGTGCATGGAAGATGTTTTGTAAATAGTGACAGTTTCATTGCTATGTACTAGGAGAAACTAGACCATTATGTCAGGTTCATTACATTATTACAAAGGCAGTAGTTTTATTCTCAGGCGTCTCTCCACATCTGAAGCATTCCTCCATCTGCATGCTATCAAGAGACTTATGTAGTTAACACTGGCTAGAAAAGGTAAAAAAAATTCCTGCCTGGTTGTCATGGAGATGTCGTCTAACTATTCACCTTTTTACAAGGCCTTCTGAAATCAAGAGGGAAGCCGCTGAGTAGGAGTCCGGAGTTGGGCCTGTTACTCTGTAATTTCAAATAAAAATAAATGGTTTGCATTAGATGCAGCGACAGAAGAAAGTGCTGAGTTAACAGAGCAAAACAGCAGAAAATACCTTGGCTTTTAAAATTAAAAATTTTATCATTCTGTTCTAGTTCGTCATTCAGCCTTAGCCCCCTCTCCCCTGCAAAGGTACAGACTTTTTGAATGCGATCTCTGCTCAGTTTGTAGTTCCTGGTTGCCTTGGTTAACATTGCTGCCTATTAATATAACCTTTTCTTTGGGGTCCCAGCGATGCTGATCAGGTCTTCTTAAGCCTTCCTACTTTTTTCTGGGTTCTTCCCATCTTCAAAGATTTTTTTTCCATTTCTTATGTAAATTTCCCAAATCTCTTCAGCGAATGCTCCTTTTCTTGTCCTCCCACTACATTGTAAGCACATTTTATGTCAGCATTTCTTAAAGTACAGTACTCCAAGGAGTCCATCATCTGCTGCAGAACCTCTTGCCATTCTCTTAGTGTCTTACTAGGTGCCAGGTTTCCTCTTACCTTTTATCAGTCCAGGTGCCATTAGCTGTCACGATGACTCAGCAAACGTTTGCAAGCAGCTTCATAGAATCATAGAATAGTGAAGTTGGAAGGGGCCTACAAGGCCATCAAGTCCAACCCCCTGCTCAGTTCAGGAATACAATCAACGCATATCTGCCAAGTGAGCTTGTCTAGATCTATGACTTTCTGTGGTTGGCCTGCGCCTCAGGGCTGCTCTAGAGGTTTCAGAATCCAGTTTAAAAAAATAAATAAACCAAGCATAGACTTGTTCAATATGTCTGTAGATGTGTAAGGAACAATATACACAGTAAAAAATAAAAAAAGTAATCCTCCTGATAATTTATAAGTTATAAAACAAATTATAGCCCGCCCTTCCTCAAAGGAACACAGAATGATTGACTATCAACATAAAACCTCACAGTTAGATCACATGTTACAAATACTGGACTAATGAATTATCATTTAAAGTAATGTAATAACTTTGGAGACCAGACCCAACTGTTTATTTTGGTATCCAAGGTTACCAGAATAGGACTTCCTTCTCTAGTTGCAGCCCTGTGTAATGCAAAAAAGAAAAAAAAGCCTGCTTCAGCGTATTTCCTAGTCGTCTTGAGAACGTTTTTAAAATGTACAAAGGGCTTCTTGGGTATGTGATCTTAGTGGAAACAGTAGGGAAGCAACAGCATTACATCATAACATCCTGGCCTGAAAATGTGAAGCATATGGTTGCCTCAGTTGCCTCCAACCTGTTATCCTCCAGATACGAGGGGTGGCCACTTTGGTTTTTTTCTCAACCAGCATGGCCATCCAAAATGGAAACTAGAAACTATGTGAGCGATAGTGCAGTGCATCTAAAAGGCACTAGTTGGGAGAAGCATGATTCTTAAATAGGAGCCCAGGTCTTTTCACTGATAAAAAGCAAAAGTCCCACAGCTTCTTCTGTCCTCCTGGTTACTCATCTGACTATCTGTGAGGTGAACTTTACAGGGAGTGTCTGAGAAGAGAAGAGGTAGCCATATTTGCCTGTGCAAGCATATCAGGCAAAAACGAAATGAATTTTTTTTATTAAAAAAAAATACGAAAACGTTGTGGCACCTTAAAGACAAACTGTTATATTTAAATGTGAGCTTTCATGGTGGATTTGATCCATGAAAGTGCAGATTAAAATAATAGGTCCTTAAGGTGGCACAACATTTTTGTTGGTTTTTTATTAATCTTTATTTTGTTTTAGCCTGATAAGAGAAGAGGGGAATGTGTGTTACTGTTCCCTTCCTTTAGGAACCTGTCATGAAGCTTGCATGTTCCCACAATTCTGTTAGTCACTGCATTCCCCACTGCAAAGGGGAATTTCTTGCTTCCTGATTCAGGAAGGAGTGGCACAGCTTTCACTGTCTCTCTGCTCTGTGGATCGTTTATCAACAATTTTGCATTTTTTTCCTTACTAATGTTCTATGGAACCATTCATCAAAATGGGCAAACTAGGACTTCCTGCTGCAGATGGGTCTTTGTGGGTTTTAAATGTCCTTTGTTACTTCTAGTGGAGATTTATGGTGCAAATAGTTACGGCTTGTCATGCACACTTCACAAAATGTAATCAGTGTGTACTTAGAGGGATTCACCTACTTCAGGCTGAGTTTTCATCTTAGAACTATTGCTCTTTCTCTTTTTCTATTCCAGAGTGGGCACATGCCTGCTGTTCGTGTATGGGATGTTGCTGAGCGGACCCAAGTGGCTGACCTCCAAGAGCACAAGTACGGAGTGGCCTGTGTGGCATTTTCCCCGAGCTCCAAGTACATTGTCTCAGTGGGTTACCAGCATGACATGATAGTGAACGTTTGGTCATGGAAGGTAAAACGATCACTAGGTTCTTTTTAGTGTTCAGATGGATACAAATAGGAATTGCAAAAACAGGTTTCAGTCTGCAGTGCTCCTCTTCATGGAGCTGGCCAGACGGCCATACCCTCTTATAGGATCCGCTTTCCCACTCCAGATCTCATATTTCTGTCCTCCTCACCCTCGCCCCTGGTGGTCACACAGCATTTCATGCCCACAGAGTATCCTCAGCCCTCAATAGGGGGTTTCCTGCTCTCAGGTTTTCTTTCTAATTTTTTTTCCTGGTGTGTGTGTGTGATATTTTCCCAAGCTTCTTAGACAAGAATATAGGACACTGGCATACACAGGCTGAGATCCAATAGCAAGTCAAAACTAGAGTCGGCCCACTGGATCAGTGGAATTTGCTGAGCCACCACCTTCATAAGATCCACTGATTCAATGGGTCTGTTTTAATTGTGACTTGCTCCTGGTTTTCAGCAAGTTGGCCCATCCCTCTTAGTACCATGTACACCAAGAGGCAGTGGTGTTCTAGGGCTTTCAGGAAAAGGTCTCTCCCAACCCAAGCTGGAGATGGGCAAGGACGGGAGCAAGTGCCTTCCATATGCAAAGTCAATGGTCTGCTTCTGAGCTTGGGCCCATTCCACTTCTAACAGGATGGTTTATTTCTTGCGCATTACACTCTCACTCTCAAAATGGGAAGGTTTTTGGATATTTTGTATAAGAAATACTGTAAGTGGCAAACAAGTTCTGAGACGTACTTGATTTTCCCTCTAAAAATAAAATTTTTTTTATTTGCAACTGTATCTTTCCAGTCTGGAAAAAGAATATGTGTTTTCTAAGGTGTCTTTTTGAATGGTTATTGCTACCTGGGATACCCAGAAACATTCAGTGATTGTTAAATAGTAGAACCTTCTCCATGTGGGAGAGTTCTTTGATCAGAACACCAAACAAACAAGCAGTTTTGTTTAAACAGATATCCAGTTTATTTCCTGTAAAGTTCTGAAACTCATTCAAGTTTACTTTTTCTTTTTTGTGTGTAAACGCATATGGAAGTTCTTGCAGAAGTATGTTTAGAGAACTAAAACTATGATGGCTTTGTACTTGGGATGGCATCTCCAGAGAGTATGCCTTTAGAGAGAGAAAAAAGATGTCATTGCCTATGAGATTTCTAAAGTCGCTTATTGTTATGCCTATAACCTACTGCTTAGTTCTTTTTTTTAATCTCTGCAACGTTCAGGGTTTGATTTTAATTTCTTTTCTAGCATTGCTGTTTCTGAACTATTAATGTGAAACTACTTGTGCCAAATGTCTAGGATTCTGATAGCTGGGCCTATGTGTGAATTCATCTCTTGGGCATAGACGCTTAGGATCCTTTCAGCTTTTTTTCTGAGTTACTGAGAGCCTTTCCATAGTGGAGGATAAAACACATGCCCTATGCCTTGATAACTTTAACTTACCTTCATGCTGCTTGATTGTGATAGCAAATACCCAGTCAAGTGCATGCTTCCCCCCATCCTCCAGAAGGAGAAGACTGCTCAGCTGTACAGCTTAAACATTCACAGACAACTCCTGTATAAAAACTGAAGTTCTCTAGATGCTTGGGGATGGTATCGCCACTCCACCAGTGCAAAAAAAAAAAGCTTTCTGAACAGTAAATGTTTGAAGCATGCCTTCTTGTCACCTGATTTCCGTCAGTGACACCTCCTCCTATAGATGGCAATACTCTCGGGCATTGTAGGAAGGTGGTCAATATGTGCATGCACACATACACACAGAAAGAGACAGATGGAGAGGAGAAAAATCTGTGCAATGGTATTCATGGGGGGGCACAAAAATGCCATCTAATTTATTTATTTGTTAGTTGGGCTCCTTTACTTGTTTAGTTCAGTCTATTTCCCAGAGTCTTTCAAATGTTAGATTTATGAGGGGGGCAGTTACAGATGTATTATTGCTCTAATGTAGACATTTCAAATAGGTCTCCTCCTCCTCTTCTAGCCCTATTCATTTCGTCCTACCAGCACCACCCAAACCTGTAGTCCTCTGGTCTGAACATTGTGCTCCATGCATCTATGGAAGTGAACTAAAAGCTCTTGCCAAATAAAATGTGTTAGTCTTAAAGGAGTGACAAGAGTCATTCAAGGGAAAAAAAGGATATGTATTGTATCCCTCCTTGGCCACCTCATGCAAGAACCCAAAATTTATATTCCGTTAAAAATGTGGAGGAAATATTTGGCATGGACCTAGTCTTTATATACACTCCATAAAGTATAACCTATATATATCTGCACACTGTGTACACATATGTAAATTGTGTGCACAAAACAGGACTGTGCAAAAATCCCCCCCCCCCATTCCATGGTTAGTCTTTATAGCATAGATTGAAAACATACTTCCTTCACAAGGAGACACAGCGGGAGTTTTGATTTGCTTGAACATCTTCCTTTCCAGAAAAACATTGTTGTGGCAGCCAATAAAGTCTCAAGTAAAGTGACAGCTGTTTCATTCTCTGAGGACTGCAGCTACTTCGTTACAGCTGGAAACCGCCATATAAAATTTTGGTACCTTGATGATAGCAAAACCTCCAAGGTAAGGAGCAGGATGAGAACCTGCATGTCTGTAGATCAGCCTTCTCCAATGTGATGTCATCCAGGACTACAGCTTCCACCACCTACTGACAGCATGGCAGTTGGTTTGTGATGGTGGTGGTGTGGGCAGTCAAGAAGAAGAATCAAGGGAGATAACGCAACCTACTGACAGCATGGCAGTTGGTTTGTGGTGGTGGTGGTGATTGTAGTTCAATGCACTGGGAAGACCCAAGAATGGTAGTGGCTGTTGTGGGCAGTCAAGTAGAAGAATCAAGGGAGATAACGAGTTTCATTTGCTCTAGAACATTTTGTCATATGCCCATGGCCAATCATCATCTCTCAAGCAGTTTCAGATGTATGATTAACCTATTATTACCATTGTTGATGATACTGATTGTGGAGGAAGAAAATATTTTTCCTCACAACACTTTTGCCACTTTGACTGAGCATATATGAGCAGATCTCTTCCAGCCATATATACTTACCAATGCCACACAGGGCTCTAAACATGTTATTTCCTTTTGCCAGGTGAACGCGACAGTCCCCTTGCTGGGCCGTTCGGGTTTGCTGGGGGAACTGAGGAACAACTTCTTCACAGATGTAGCATGTGGCAGGGGCAAAAAAGCAGACAGCACTTTCTGTATCACTTCCTCAGGTCTCCTCTGTGAATTCAACGAAAAAAGGCTTCTGGACAAGTGGGTGGAGCTGAGAGTAAGTTTTCAATCGGTAGCCTTTGGGTTTCTGTTCAAGGTGGGAGGGGATAGGGCAGGGATGGGGAGATGATAATCCAAAGCCATAAGAGGCTGTTGTAGGGCATTTGCTGGAAGTGAATGGCGCAACGGCCTTGTTGCAATTAAGCAAGCTGTCACTGAGTAAGAGACTGCCAGAAGCTTCAGCATGGAAGAAAGGTGGACTGTAAAGTAAATAAAATGAAAATAGTCAAGCCCAAATTAGATGTGTCCCATTTTAAAGGGCTTGAGGGGTGTATATCAGTGACCTGCATTTTCTCTTGGTACTTCTGCCCTTGCTGTTCATCTTCTCCAGATGCTTTTCTCTCAGTTGGACTCAGATAGTTGCAGTGAGTCTGGTAGGGAGATAACACCTGAGGAAGAAGACACTTTCTCACAGAGGTTTTGCTGTCTCCTTAGCACATGTGTGCCACTCTGGCCCTTTAAAAAGCACATTTAGTCTTTGCTTTACATGTGAAGGGGGCACACACTGCTGGTCGGAGTTCTGCATCGTTGCATGTACTTGATGTCTGAGAGTTATTGATATATAAGTATCAGGGGTTTCTTCTTCTCCATAACAGAGCATTTAGGCAATAACTTACTAAAGAGAGAAACTAAAATTTAGCAAAGTTACTTTCACCCAGGCACAACATTGTCTTGAAAGCGTTCCTGACTTTGGCCCCAGAGGGGGAACCCCATGAATATTTCATAAGAGTTGTCTGAAATGTTGTTATTTTAATGGTCCATAGCTGCGTTCTTCTCGCCAACAAGTATAACTTCACTTATAAATCTTGGAGTTCTTTCTTGTGTAAAGTAGCTTTACAATATTATTCCATTCAGTCTTGTGTTATTAGTACTGTGCTTCAGACAGATAACAGAGACTGATAAATAGTGACTTCCGGATGCCAACTGCCTGTCTTTGAGCCATGACAAGAACTCACTTCATGCTACAGAGTATTACCTCCCGGCTGAACGGATCAAGAAAACCCATTGGAACTGCCTGTCTTTGAGACATGACAAGAACTCACTTCATGCTACGGAGTATTACCTCCCTAGAAGTATCTGTTTCCTAGATTGGTACTTTTTAGATACCTATTGCTATGTTTAAAAATACAGTAACAGAGCGTCTTTGCTCATGTTCCGACTTGAATCTCTCTCTCTCTCTTTCTCTCTTCCTTCTTTTCCCTTCTGCACTGAAATCACCTTTTCCCTTTTACTTAGAACACAGACAGCTTCACAGTAAGTTGGAATGAAGTCATGCCTCCAGCACTTTGCTTCCCCATCATGCTTCTCATTTTGGTCTCTTTTTTTTCCTGGTTGTCCACAGTAGGAATTGATATGGATGAATAAGTGAAATAGGGCTGAGTCCAAGACAGGAAGGGTCTGCATGCTTCTGTATAGCCACTGCTTCCTTGTTTGAGGCGAAAACAGTTCTTCCACAATAAAGCAAATCTCCAATAAAATGTAACATTCTCAAGTGGTCCTGTTTCAATTATTGAGCAGCCATGTTCTTCTCCTTAATATGTACACCTCTCCATTCCCCCTGCCATCCAGTATTCCATGTCCTCAATAGTAGATCATTTTTCTGTGGTTACTGAATATGCTCAGTCATCATTGGTATGTTTTAGCATTTCCCCCTTTCAGGAACCTTTTTCTTTTTTGGTACATCTACAAAGGACACCTGTTGCTTCCCTCTTGTGTATCGGTGGTACTGTTTGGCTGTACAAGTGATGGTACATTCAGAATTTGGAATTAACTAAGTACAGGTGTAGTAAAACTAGTTACATATTTGGTAGCAAGTAATGTAATTGGTAGTTACGAAGTTGCTTTTTTAAAGACTAAAATAACACCTAAATTACTTAAGTGTAAAATACACAGTTACATAAGTTACTTTTGAAATACATTTGAAAGCATTTTAAAGACTTTTTGACAATATTTTTTTCACTTTTAAGCCATTATCATATCAGTCAAAGTGTGCTGCTTATACCACTCATAGCAAAGCAGACTCTGGGTGGTTTACAAGTTAATTACACAAGCTACGCATTCGGCCCCACTCCCAGCAAGCTGAGTACCCAATTTACCAATCTCAAAAGGATGGAAGTCTGCATCAGTCATAAGTAGGAGATGTATTCTTTGGTTTTGTCTTTTTCCTTTAAATATTTGCAGGATATAATATCAGAATTAGCCAGTAAAGAAACCCAGAGAATATTTCCTTGTATTTTTCTGCTATATTGGTAACAACAGTGCAAACTATTCATAATACACATAGGCTAAAATCTATTGCTTAGAGTAGTAAGTCACACTAGATTAGGCCCATTGAATCAGTGGGGACTCGTTGAGTCAACTCTTCTGTAAGTTCCATGGATTCAAATGGGTCTATTCCGTTTGCAACATATTTTAGCATAGAAAATAGCAGTGAGAGGATTTCAGCCAATGTGTGATTGGAGCTCTTATATTGTATAGTCAAACAATATTGCCTGTGCATAGGAGGAAGGCAGCAAGTGACCTTTGTAGGTATAGCAAAAAGCAAGCAAGCAAACAATACAAGAAACTTACCTGCACAGAAATAAATGAGTAGTGCATTTAAGTTACTTTTAGGGTCTAACATTTGAAGCTCTGTTCACAGCCTGAACATCAGAAATAGAGGAAAGGACGATAGTTGTCCTAGAAACTACTATCTTTGGAGAATGGATCTACTAAGAAGGGATATACAGATTTCATCTCTTTTCCTTATATCTGGTTTCTCCCTCTCATCTTGCTTCATCTCTCCCTCCAGCCTTTTCTTCTCTGTCTTTTTCTGGATATTTGTTTTCCTTCTGCCTTTATGTTTTATGTGAAGACTTTGAGACAAATCTTGCTCATGTTGGTGTTTTGTGCCCTCAGACCACGGTGGCAAACTGTATCTCTGTCAATCATGATTACATCTTCTGTGGCTGTGCAGATGGAACTGTGCGGATTTTTAACCCTTTGAACCTTCACTTTGTAACTACACTCCCCAAACCACACTTTCTGGGAACAGATATTGCCAGCATCACGGAGGCCAGGTAGGAACATTTTCTCATTACAAAATGTCTTGTGCAATATTTTCTTGTATGATTGGCGGAACAGGAAATAATGTTTGGGTTCTTGATCCTGTTTTATCCAGAGCTTGGAAAAGTAAATTTTCTGGACTACAATTCACAATATTCCCATGGAATTACTGTCCAGAGGTTTCTGGGAATTATAATTTGGAAACTAACTTTCCCAAGCACTGGTTTTATCCTGTGATCTAAAGAGCTTTTCAGCACAAACATGTTCTTGGCTTTTGTGAAAGGATCCAAATTTATGTCCTGGAACCTGCAGTTCGAGCAATACGATATCTGGTGGATTCATACAGCAACATGGCTAAACAAATCTATCTTTTTTACTGACTTACAAACTTACCATTCCTTGTGTTTCTTTCCCAAAGTACTTCCTTTTTTGTTCATTTATATTATTTATTTAAAAAGTATTGTTTACTCCTTCCATCTCATTTGTCCATTAGCTTTTTGGGATTTGAAACTTGGAGAATGAAGAATGTCTGATTAATATATTGGAATGCCTCCCAGTATCCTATAATATCTAGTGTTGGGTATTGGGAACTGTTCAAGGCAAACACATTGAAAGTTACTTTGTTACCCTCACAAAGGGCTTTAATTATGTGCACATCTGCCCAATGAAACATACTTGATTCAAAGAAATAATCTGAGTTTCTTTCTGCCTTCCCATATACCTCCATGCAACCTAGCTGAATGCCTTTTAGGTTTTAAATAAAATGGTGTCGCTATATTCTTAGCATGCTGCTGTCATAATGACTCCATAAAAAGGAACAGAAATAAACACAAATGTGCAAATCAAGTGTTAGGGTTTCCTTGTGGTTTTACAATACACCAGCTGTTAGGCTGTGTCTTCTTCATTGGCTCTGAAAATATGAAGCAGCCTGCAGATTAAAAAGTGACATTTCTGTTCAGCTCTGGAAGCTGTGGTTAAAAAACACCATGGCCCTGCATACTGCAGTCCATTGACATATCCATGACTCTCTACCTTAGACTTGCAGTTTTCTCTTTTTTTGCCAGACTTCTGCTAGGAGAGCGGAATCAACCACTCATGACAGTTGCATCTTAAAATTGGCTTGGCTTGAAATGGGAAACTGAGCACGGAACATGAAGCCAGATTGTTCCACTTCTAAAACCTCCTGCTGTTGGAGCACTTGATCAGAAAAAAAACCCCTGTATGCTTGCTTTTAAAGAAACAAAAACAAACAACCAGTCTCTCTCAGTCTCATGCCTGTCATTTCTTTCCAAGTAACACAAATCACATGCTTCTGCAGCTTGAGAGCTGATCACAATTATAGCTGCAGTTCCCTCCCCCCCCCTTCAGTTTAAAGGAAGCTGGAGACACACAGTCATCATTATAACCAATTTGTTCCATGCATTTTTGTGGGGTGCTTGTTTAAGTACTTGTGACAGCCCATGGCTTCTTTAATTACTGGGCTTTCAATCTCTGCTGCATCCTTGGGTCTCCTATTGCCCAAACGTGGCCCCTTCAGCTGTTCATCTTAAACAATATCGCCATAGAAGTTTGCTACTCACTCATCCTACATGTTTCAGTTGCTATTGTATCTGTGGGCCAGGGTCTAGTAACATGGTCTGTTGGTGGTCTTCTTTTTCCTAGGATGATATCCACCCAGCATTCTCCAGAGTTTGGGCCTTTGAAGCTAACAATAATAAATTAATAATAATATAAGTTTATGATTCATTTGTTTATTTATATATATCCTGCAGTCTGGCTCCCTGCTCCTGGTCTATCATTTTTATGTTGTTGTTGTTGTTTTGTCCAACATATTCACATGCAGGAGATCCACTTTGAAAATAGGTGGCAGCCATTTATTGCCCTCTATATACATAACATTTTTTAACAGAATAACATAAGTAAAAAAAGGCAAGCTTCTTTCCTGAGCAGTTTAGTAAATAAATTTTGGGATATTAATAGGCTGGGGTGTATAAAGGGGAAAGCAAAGTTAACAGGAGAAATTGATGTTCAGATATGTAAATACAATGCAGACTTTGAAGGAAATCATGAAAGGGCAGTGGCGTGTCTGTCAGGTGGTGGCTTGTCGTTGTTGTTGTTGTTGTTGTTCTTTCAGTGTACTGATCAAGAAGACTGGGGGAAGGGGATGCATTAGTGGAAGAAAGCAATCTATGTTTCCATTGTCTCCCAAGATGCAAGTGCAGGAAAGCCAAGGATGCCAGGCATGTGCTTTGTACCTTTAGGAGCAAAAGGAACAGAGAGAAGGAAACATAAGAATTGTGCATAGGAGTTATTCACTCGCTTTGTTTGTGTTACTGACTGTTACGGGACTAATAATTAGGGAAACTGTGTATGGGCTTCACAAGATCAAGGAGAAGATACAATTTGTTTTGTGTTCTGTGCCTCTCATACATACATTCTCGAGATATAATATCTTATCTCCACCATTCTGTTCCTAGTTCCCTATAGATTTATAATTCTCCACTGTGTATGGATGTTTGTAGAGTGCAGTTCTGAAGTGACCAAGAAATGGTCTTTGTCAAGTTAGCACTCTTTAAACTGCCTCTTTTGCCTCATTTTTAACTTAAGGAAAGGTAAATACCATATATTATGGGATTGTGAACTATGCCGCTGTGAATGGGATGACTATTGAAGCAAAGGTTTAGTATTGGGAAGGAATTACTACATTTTTACTATGGGAGGATATGCGAGAAGGAGAGGAAGGTTTTGCCCCGGAGGCAAGAGAGAGCCATCCCTGATAGAGGTTGCAGATGAAATGAGGAGACAAAATATGCCAAACCTCATTACACTTGGGCCCTTTAGCTGGCTGTCAAGTTACATTTTTCCTTGCTTGTTGGGGTGTTCATTCTGCTGAGTGGAATTAGAGGCAGTAGGATTACAAGGCTAGTTGTATGTTCTTTGTCCATTCTGGGCTGTTGAGAAGACAAAGAGATTGATTCAGCTATTCAGTGAGAAATTATAAGACTTTTATGAGGGCAACTTCTGTCCACAGAGTGCTAGGGTTACATTCAGGTTACATGCAGAACACTTTTATCACATTTTAATGCTATTCAGCATAATCTGAAAGCCTGTGTTAAGTACTAGAAGAAGGCCCCAATATGAGGTTTCACCACATTGCGACAGAACAGCACCAAGCTGTGAAACTGTATCTGATGGGTTCAGGATTCAACTAAAATTTTAGGAACATACAGTATGTCTTTCTTGATTGAATCAGGATTCAACTAAAATTTTAGGAACATATGTCTTTCTTGATTGAGTATAAAGAAAGAATTTCAAGTTGCCAGTTTGGTCATGAATGCTTTCATAAATTAAGTATGTGGCCTAAAGCCAGACTCACACTCTTTGCCTTCTGTTGTTGTTACTATGTGCCATCAAGGTGAAACCGACATATAGCAACCCTAATAGGCTTTCAAGGTAAGTGAGAAGTCCCACTCCCCCAGTGAGTTTCTATGGCTAAATGGGGATTTGAACCCAGGTCTCTTGGATGTTAGTCCATCACTCTACTATACCACACTGGATATCCCTTTGCCTTCTGCCCTATTTCATTTATTTATGTGTTTCCCTCCTTTCTCCTCAAAAGGACCTATTGATCTGTGTTAGAGGGTTATTAAACAAAGAGGTGAGGAGTCATTGATCCTCTAGAACAGAGGTGAACAAAATGCAGCCCCAGGAGCCCAAATGCGAGGGCGTAAAATAGAACAGAGGTGAACAAAATGCAGCCCCAGGAGCCCAAATGCGAGGGCATAGAAGCCAATTCTTTTGAGGGACGTGGTGGTGCTGCAGGTTAAACCGCAGAAGCCTCTGTGCTGTAAGGTCAGAAGACTAGCAGCTGTAAGATCATGCTGGAGTGAGCTCCTGTTGCTTGTCCCAGCTCCTGCCAACCTAGTAGTTCGAAAGCATGTAAATGCAAGTAGATAAATAGGTACCACCTTGGTGGGAAGATCAATATGTAACTTGTTTTGTTTTTGAAAAATAGAGTGCTAGAGGATATAAAAAGGCTTTATGAGTTGTTTTTAAAAAGTTTTTTAAAGGAAAAAAAGTATTTTGGATGTGAGTGAAACATAGGTGTAGATCTGCCCTTCGTGGACAACACAACTGGACTAAATGTCAAGGAGAACCTTTACATTTACTAGAAGCCAATTCTGCCATGTTTGTGGCTCCCCAGCAGCTCACATTGCCATGTCCCCCAACAATATGTAACTTGTTTTGTTTTTTGAAAAATAGAGTGCTAGAGGATATAAAAAGGCTTTATGAGTTGTTTTTTAAAAGTTTTTTAAAGGGAAAAAAGTATTTTGGATGTGAGTGAAACATAGGTGTAGATCTGCCCTTCATGGTTCAGAGGTGGGATTGTGTGACCCTTGCATGTCTGGAATTTATCCATCCCCCATTCAAGATGTTTTGGCTTGCATTTGTTGACCTCTTCCACCTAACATGGCCAATAGTAAAAAGCTGTGGCATTTGTACGCCAAAACCTGGAAAACAAATTCTTCCCCGACCTATGTAAAGATTATGACAGTACAATGCTCATTGAGTGCTGGAAATAAACAAATCTTTATGTCACAATAGGAAAAATAAGTAGTGTTCTCTCCTGATTTTCCTTTGTTCTGTTTCCCTTTGCACAAATTTTATTTGCACAAAATAATACCATTTTATTCACAAGTAGCTAACTTAACAATTAACTATTGTGCTATTCTTTCACAGCCGGCTCTTCTCCAGCACGACAGATGCCAAGTATCCAGACACCATTGCCTTGACCTTCGACCCCAATAACCAATGGCTATCATGCGTTTACAATGATCACAGCTTGTATGTGTGGGATGTCAAGGACCCCAAGAAAGTGGGCAAGGTTTATTCTGCCTTATACCACTCCTCATGTGTTTGGAGTGTTGAGGTAAATAAAAACTAAGAAGATTGTGATGGGAGAGGGCAGAAAGGAAGCAGTGTCAAACAGGTGTACTGGGAGTGATTAGCAGTCTTATTATTACCTGTTACTAATTTAGACAATAATTCTCATTTTGACAAGAGACAATATTTTTCTTCTTCTGTTTATGAGTGCATGCTTCATAAAGAAGCAATATTTTGCCTGTGTAGTAATGACTGTCAAGAATCTATGGGACTGGAAAGTCCGTAATTGTAGAAGAACTGTAAGAAGAGATATAAAGAGAGAAAGAACAACCCTACATATTTAGGTGACTATAAATAGTCTGAGGCCAGGGTCCAGATTTAAGTGTTTATTGTTAGTAGTTTAAAGTCAGCTTCTGCATAACTGTACTCATACTTGCAGTGATCTGAACTGGATGACTCCCTACTTAACCACAGCCTATGTGGTTACAAAAGCCATTCAGTTTCTATCAGAGCACTTTCTATATGTGTAAAGTATGTGTATGTGTAAAGACGCAGGAGGGGCAAGTAGTCAAATATGGCATTTAGAGGTTTCCAATTTAGAGGTGATCAGCTTTACTATCCCTGTCCTTGGGACAAGACATAATCTTTAATTGCTTTTGTGAAATTGGCCTTCAGTCCAAGCTCCCCATTTTACGCATGTTCTGAATAACTTTTAAAAACTGATCTGCTCTTCCTTATGCCCCCAAATCCCTTCTTCGAGTTAATCAGAAAAGTAACAACAAGCAGAGTGTATGGGCTGCTCAGAGTGCACTAAATATTTTTAAGTCATTTCAGTTACACCAGCTAAAAAAAAACACACAGCTATAACGTCCTGCTGCTCCCTGCTGGCGTATGCATGTCTGCATAAGAAGGTTTAAATATCTGTGGAATTCACTTGCTCCTTTCTGCTTGCCCCTGGAAAAGACCATTCAGGATGTTATGTAATAGCAGGATTCCTTTTCAAAGAACAAATAAGCATTGTGTTCCAATTAGGTCATTCTCTATAAATTAAACATGAAGGTGTAATCTGGCTAAGAAAATTAATTTAAGTGGTAGATATAGCAGGTTTTCTCTACCTTAATTATATAGAACATGAAATTTTGGGGGCACTTTGAATTGAGACAGTGAAAAAAAAAGTCCTACCTTCCAAAATTAATTAACTATGTGCTGTCGAGTCAGAACTGATTTATGGTGACTCTAGTAGGGCTTTCTTTGTGGGTTTTTCAGGCTCTTTGGCCGTGTTCTGAAGGTTGTTCTTCCTAACGTTTCACCAGTCTCTGTGGCTGGCATCTTTAGAGACTGGCAAAACGTTGGGAAGAACAACCTTCAGAACAGGGCCAAAGAGCCCGAAAAACCCACAACAGCTATTAGATACCAGCCGTGAAAGCCTTCGCAAAGACATAAGTGAGATATTTTGAGTGGTTTTACTAGTTCTACACTTCCAGTGAGTTTCCATGGCTAAGCAAGGATTTGAACTCAGGCTTTCTAGTCTATTGCTCTATCGACTACACTACACTTGTGTAAAATTAGCCATCATTTAAATAGTAAGCAGCCCTATTTTTCCTTGAATGTGATCTCCCTACTTGCCTTTTGTCTTCTGTTTCAGAAAATACAGTTTCAGTTATGGTGGGTTGCTGTCAATGCATTAGAACCTGACCGGCCTTTCTTACTCTGCTTTGTTCTTTACCTTCCTCCAGGTGTACCCTGAGGTGAAGGATAGTAATCAGTCCTGTTTACCTCCAAACTCCTTCATTACTTGCTCCTCTGATAATACCATCCGCCTCTGGAACACCGAGAGCTCCAACATCCATGGTGCCACGCTGCATCGGAACATCCTGAGCCACGTAAGAATCCCTTTCAGGCTGGAATTCATAGCACACAGTTACTATTACTGCGAGGCAAAAAAGGAGAACAACAGCTGGCATGATAATGAATGTGCATTCCAGGCTGTATAGCTTTCTATTTTGTTTGATAATGTAGCTGCAGTGATCAAGTGAAAGTAGCTTATGAATAGTCGGCCAGTTGTAACCTATTCAAATTTTCTGCCTTTTTTTCACAATGGTTTTGCTCAACAGATATGATGCAGAAAGTTATGGTGATGCTAATTCTCTTTACAAATATAATCCAACACCACTACTTTGGCCTACTTCAATATATTATATTCTGTTGTGTTTTAATAACTAAAAGACTATTACCTTTTAATACTTGATTACCTAATTAAGATGGTCCTATGAGCCATATGTAATGTCAGCATTGTAGTGTATGTTTGTATATATGAACGAGAGGTAGGTCTGTTTTAGTCAGCTGCCCAGATATTTGTGGCAGAATGCTATGGTGTTTATCCTTGGCCCTTCAACACATTTGTAGACTATTATCTCAGAGTGCAGGACACACAACAATGGGCTCAAGTTAAAGGAAGCCAGAATTTGGTTGAATATCAGGAAAAACATCCTAGCTGTTAGAGCAGTACAACAGTGGAACCCGTTACCTCGGGAGTTGGTGAGTGCTCCAACACTGGAGACATTCAGGAAAAATGTAGATAATCACCTGCCTGATATGCTTTGATTGTATTCCTGCATTGAGCAGGGGTTAGACATGATGGCCTTATAGGCCCCTTCCAATTTCACTTTTCTATGGTTCTGTGATAAAACAACTTCACTTTTCTATGGTTCTATGATAAACTGGTTTGTTAATCCAAAGCTTTTCCAGAACTGACCAGATCATACTCTTGAACATAAGACGTTCACTACAATTTCCAGTTTCCATGGAAACTCAGAACTGACTCTACTATTAGGGAGGGTGAAGCATTTGCCCCAAGGCAACTGATTTCAGGTGTCCTGAAAAGGCAGCTAATTGATGGTTGTTTAATTTCCCATTATTGTAGTTTTGCTTATAGGAACAGGTACTACAGTATGATGTTTTTTTGCCTCATACGTCAATATTAAGTTACCTGACTTTGGCTGCTTTACTTCTTATCATTGCTGCGTAGGTGTCATTTGGTATTACACCTCAGGCAGCAAAATCTTCTGGGCTGGCCCTATGTATATTGATGCTGAATGAAAGATATTTCCTCTTCAGTCAGAAGTATTAGTGTTAAAAGTTGAAAAATGGAAAAGAGGGATGAAGGCAAATAATATTATAGCGTATTAGGGCTTGCTCCATAAATCAGTTACTCTGTAAAATTTCAAAATGTGACCCCTAAGGATCTCCAGCTCTGTTCTTCCATTTTTGTGTTCTACCTTGTATTACAAAGTCTTGTGCTGATCCTTCCTCTGAACTGAATCTTCCTGTAGTGCAACGAAAGTGTAAGTGAGGACTGTTTCCCAGGCCTCACAATGCTTGCAGTCATTTTACTCTAGAAAATGGCCGTATGTTTCAAGTATGAAATGGCTGCTTTCTGTAGTCTCTGTACACAGTGGACACAGTAGAGTGTTGTTTTCAGCTCCTCACATCTTATTCTTCTGGTACACTTTCCATTATTCAGTGGTCTGCTGTTCTGGGTTTCACCTAAACTTACTAAAATTTCATTTAGGTTCTTTTTGTGTTGCTTGAATGTGTGTGCTGAAAAACCATTGGCATAGTTAGAATAAGAGAGACAGCATGCATGTTTCTAGCTTTGTACACACAGTTGTAATTGCTGCTGATTCAAGAGAATGTACGTTAATCAATGCAATTTTAATCTTTTGTCTTACTCACTCCATATGGCAACTCTTTGTGTTTTCACTAGGACCTGATGAAGATCATTTATGTAGATGAAAACACTCAAGCTCTCCTGGATACAGAGTACAACATGGGTGGAGGTGTGGACAAGGCTGACACACAGACCTTGGATGCAAAAGTAGGGATTCGCACAGTGTGTGTGAGCCCAACTGGGGAGCACCTGGCCTCAGGTGATAGAATAGGCACCCTCAGGTATGTCTTGGAATCTTGGAGAAGCCTGGCCTTTGGTAGTAGCATAGAAAGATGTTTTCTGACCATCTGCTGATACTCCTTCCAGGATCCATGAGTTGAAGTCCCTGAGAGAGTTGCTGAAGGTGGAAGCCCATGATTCTGAGATCCTCTGCCTTGAATACTCCAGACCTGAGACAGGTAAGATGGGTTTCAGCTCTCACTCTCTTCCTGCTAGTTTAACATCATATTACTAATCAATCGCTTTCTCTTCCATCAAGCCATGTTGTTCTCTTAGCTGAGAAAGATTATACAATGCTATATGTAAAAGATGAAAATATGAAGGAGATGGTTTTGAAGAGGTCATTAATTTGTCGAGATTGCATGATGAACATGGACAAAAAAATTGCCTGTGCGCTCAGCTCTATGGTTCAAAAACACATTACGCTGCTTCTGAACATCAGCATAGTAGATACTTCCTAAAGATGAGGCCCGGGGAAGTATCAGTTTTCAATATGGATTTTATTCTTTTCTTAACATAATAACAGGACTGAAACTTCTAGCATCAGCGAGCCGGGACAGGCTGATCCATGTTTTGGATGCAGGAAAAGATTATAGCTTGCAACAAACCCTGGATGAGCATTCATCCTCCATCACAGCAGTCAAGTTTGCAGGTATTTGAACTATGTATTTTGGGACGTAGCTCATGGGAGATCATTAAAATTTTCTCCACATTTTCTCTACAATGCCTCATTTTTCCCCCTTTCATTCTCTAGAGTGTTAGAATTTGTCCAGGTAGTGAGAGTAACTGGCTAGTGGTAAAAGATGAGCAAAACGGTATTCAAGATATATGTCATATCAACCCTAACTTGCATAGGCGACAGTGAGGTTGCAGCCACAGATGCATCTGAGAGACCACAAATTTCCTGCCCTGGTATAGAGTTTCTGTGTTCTTCATGCAGGCTTTATCGATTGATGTTGTGCAGATATTTGCAGATAGGTCCTGTGACAGATCTTCCCCATTTGGGGTTTGAAATTTAAAAGTTGATTTCAAATAAATAGCTGCAAGTAATCAGTTTATAGTGATTCATTCCTTTTTTTTTTTGAATGATGAAGACATAAGTGGAGTAAATTGCCATTCTAATTTGGCACTTCTTATGTAGTGTAACAGTAACATTTTTAGTCATTTCTAAAATTACAGGGATACACGGTTCCAGAATGGTAGAGGAAAAATATAATGTAATTCATATGCTGCTGAGAAATAGAGAAAGTAAAGTAACTTTTTAAAAGCAACAGTAGTAGTAACTAATCAGGGGTGTCATGAAACTAGAGCTAGAACTAATTATTTTCCTGCTTGCATATAATCTCTTTTGATCTAGTGCAAGAGTGGACAATCTCCAGAAGTGTGGGAGTTGCAAAAACATCTCCCTCAACCTTGGAGGACTGCATCTATGGCTGCACCTCCAACTCTGCAATTCTTTTCTTACAAAAAAAGTTTTTAAAACTAAAATCCTCCCTGTACTGGCCAATATATGTATTGGGGTTTTTTTAAAAGTTAAAAAACATGGGGGAACAAGTGCAGTTGGATCTCGTTTGTCCTTTGAGGACTGCATGAAGTCCATTGGCTGCATGTTGCTCATCCCTGATCTAGGAAGAGTAATCTGTTATATGCAGGCACTAATGTGGTGCATACTGTGCAGGACAATAAGGAAAATAGAAAGGCAGATGGAAGATATTGAAAGAGAATTGTTGGGAGGCTCCTTATTCATGGTCTCCAATATATTTGTCTTCCTCTAGCCAATGATGGAAAGGTGCGAATGATAAGCTGTGGAGCAGATAAGAGCATCTATTTCCGTACTGCACAGAAGGTAATTCCATTAATCTTTTCTCTTTATATAACTTATTGGGTGGTTCTGTTTTAAGAGTGAAGGTCTAAGCAAAAGTTGTGGGTGATGTTCCAGGCCATGTTTCTTTCCATCTTGACCATTTGGAAAACTTTATAAGAAGCTGTGTAGGACTGCTGGTTGTGGACCAAATTAGTCACCATCCCATTTTTGTCTCTTTTCGAAACTGTTACTTCAAAGGGCACCTTTATTTCTTGCTTGCAGAGAGAGGAGAGACTGGCTAAGCATTTGGGTTTCACTATGTGTCTGTTTCTTGTGCTTAGACAGGTGATGGGGTTCATTTTACTCGCACACACCATGTTGTCAGGAAAACCACTCTTTATGACATGGATGTGGACCCTAATTGGAAATATGCTGCTATTGGATGTCAAGACCGTAACATCAGGTTAGTTCACTAATTTCTATGGAGCCTCATGTGACTCTTAAAAACCTGTCTATGATGCTTAGTTCATTAACCTCAAGGTCTCATTCACTCAGGGCTCGATTCAGTTATGTTCAGATGTGCTTAGGGAAAAGGAAATAATTTATGTGAGATAGTGACCAATAATTTACTAATAATGATGGCAAATGGATTTAGTAAGTAGACAGTATGAGGGAAATGAAGCTTACATTCACCCATCACAATTTACATGTACTCCCAAGGTAAAGTGAATGCGCTCTGGTGTAAAAAATATCTTGGGGATTAGGACCCATCATCCTATCATAAAAGCTGAGGCAAATCTTACTATCAAGGAATTATATACGTTTGTCCCACTGGCAAAAGCTGAAAACAAACAAGTGGAAAACTTGTCAGAGCCTTTTGTCCTCCTGACTGCCAACCATTGTGAGCTTCCTGGGGACACTTGGCTTGCTGTTGTTAGAAACAGACCTTCTCAGACCAGATGTGTAACTTTGATGTCTTGTCACAGAGCTTTACTTAGGATTACAACTTTTGATTTCCTTTTCAGGATTTTCAATATTAGCAGCGGGAAGCAAAAGAAGCTGTATAAGGGATCCCAAAGTGAAGATGGCACCTTAATTAAAGTAAGGCCTTTTCTGGTTTCAGCACAGTCTCTATTGGGTTTATTCCTCCTGTTTCTCTTGATTTATGCCTTTTCTTGTATGCAGCTTTAATGGAGGAACTGGATTTCACCTTAATTTCATGTAAAGCTTTAAACTTTGTGATATAAAGATGCTATTCAGTGATTGCATTTTGTGTGTATATGAGTTGCAAGAAAGCTTATCTGTTATCAAGACATTCCAATTGTAAATATAAGGTATCATGGTTTACAAACCCAAGCAAAAATAGCATGACTGATGTCTAATTATTATTCCAGAAAGTAATTAACTGAAATTTATGGGTATGGTATCTTAAACCTTCTACATTAAAACAGGAACAAACGAATAAATATTGGCTAGAGGTTGCTTAGTTTAAGTGCTTTGTTTTTAAAATGGCAACTGCAGCAGATTTCTGCTCTACTGCAGTTGTCATTTTTACAGTGGGTTGTGCTGCGTAAGCGTATTTGAGATATTTGCATTTTCCCCACTGCATATGTACGCCTTGGAATCCTGGGGCAATTCATCTACTCACTTTGGAAGATCAATGCATGCTGTGTCATGGCACATGTATAGTAGCTCTGTGTTCCACCATTTCCTTTCTAGCTTTTTAAACAACTCCCCTAGAGTTTATTCAGGATGAACCCTTTCTAGCCACACCAGTTTGCCTGCTTTCACAATCATTTGAACAATGCAAACTGTTAGCAATCTGCGAAATTGAGGAACTGACAGTATCCTCAAGAGGAGACATCTTGGAATGAACAACATCCATTGAAGTTCAGTTCTAATCTCTCGTACTTCAGAAGAATGCCTGACTTTGAATGCCTGATGTAGCCTGAAGAGCAGAAATAAAATAGAAAATAACAGGCAGACTGTGTGGCCTCTTTAAGACTAGCACATTTATTATAGCATGAGTTTTGTTATGTATGTGTGCATACCTGGAGTATTTTTTATCAAGTCATAGATCCTGCTTCTCATCTAGTGCTGCTGTAGTTAACAAGCAGAGTTAGGGAAGGGTTTCTTTAAACAGACATTCTTACTGTTTAGCTGCACTCTCATTTTTGTATTAATATGTTTTGGGCTGAATTTAGTAGGGTCTGTCTTCTTGTATTTTAAGGTAGCACTGTGCTCTCTAGAACAATTTATGTAAGTTGCTGTAAATTCATTCCCTGAATTGGTATAATTAGTCAGACTCTTTGTAACAGTCATTTTTGTACCAGTGAGGTAAGAGTACAGTGCACAAGTTGTAGGCTGGCAATATATGATTGTTTCTCTCAATTCTTGTCTTGAATAGGAAAGACCTAAAAATAGCATGACTGATGTCTAATTATTATTCCAGAAAGTAATTAACTGAAATTTATGGGTATGGTATCTTAAACCTTCTACATTAAAACAGGAACAAACGAATAAATATTGGCTAGAGGTTGCTTAGTTTAAGTGCTTTGTTTTTAAAATGGCAACTGCAGCAGATTTCTGCTCTACTGCAGTTGTCATTTTTACAGTGGGTTGTGCTGCGTAAGCGTATTTGAGATATTTGCATTTTCCCCACTGCATATGTACGCCTTGGAATCCTGGGGCAATTCATCTACTCACTTTGGAAGATCAATGCATGCTGTGTCATGGCACATGTATAGTAGCTCTGTGTTCCACCATTTCCTTTCTAGCTTTTTAAACAACTCCCCTAGAGTTTATTCAGGATGAACCCTTTCTAGCCACACCAGTTTGCCTGCTTTCACAATCATTTGAACAATGCAAACTGTTAGCAATCTGCGAAATTGAGGAACTGACAGTATCCTCAAGAGGAGACATCTTGGAATGAACAACATCCATTGAAGTTCAGTTCTAATCTCTCGTACTTCAGAAGAATGCCTGACTTTGAATGCCTGATGTAGCCTGAAGAGCAGAAATAAAATAGAAAATAACAGACTGTGTGGCCTCTTTAAGACTAGCACATTTATTATAGCATGAGTTTTGTTATGTATGTGTGCATACCTGGAGTATTTTTTATCAAGTCCTAGATCCTGCTTCTCATCTAGTGCTGCTGTAGTTAACAAGCAGAGTAAGGGAAGAGTTTCTTTAAACAGACATTCTTACTGTTTAGCTGCACTCTCATTTTTGTATTAATATGTTTTGGGCTGAATTTAGTAGGGTCTGTCTTCTTGTATTTTAAGGTAGCACTGTGCTCTCTAGAACAATTTATGTAAGTTGCTGTAAATTCATTCCCTGAATTGGTATAATTAGTCAGACTCTTTGTAACAGTCATTTTTGTACCAGTGAGGTAAGAGTACAGTGCACAAGTTGTAGGCTGGCAATATATGATTGTTTCTCTCAATTCTTGTCTTGAATAGGAAAGACCTAATCCAGTATCTATGGGTTAACAAACAAAACGGGCAAGTTTTCAGGTTCTCTAGAACTCTCTATCAGGCAGATGGTAAAATTAGAACTGGGGGAAGTTATGGAGGTTTGGCTGTATATCTTAAGGTATAGAGGTATGTAATAAAACTCAGTCTCGGCTTGATGAATCAGAGAGGTATGCAGGTATTACATAATCTCCGGCAAAACTCAGGATGCAGAAAGAATTTTGCTCCAAGCCAAACCAAATTCCTCCAGTTATTGTGCTTGGTATGGGATTATGAGCCAAGAAAAACCGACAGTGGAGCAGACATCATGGCATGTCTTCTGCAGAAGCATTTGTCCCCAAATAGTTGCAGATACTGGGAAAGAGGATGCAAATGCTGTCCTCTCCTCCCCCTGCCCCCCAAGTTTGTTTGGGATGAAAAAGGAGACACCACAATTGAGTGCTTCACTGTCTGAAGAAAGCATTGCTGGCTCCCCAGTTCAAGCCAAGGTAAAACTTTCCTTGCAGCAGAGAAGGGGTCCTGCCTGCAAATCCCAGTGAGAGGCTTCTCTGGAAGACAAAGAGATCGTTAACCAGGAGCGGGTGGGCAGTGCTTGGCTGGAGGGCAGCACAGGGCACAAGTAGCTGCCACCAGTGGCCTAATATGGAATGTGATACTCAGATTGTGCTGATCAGCCTCATGGAGGCCTGAAAGCTGCCTTGTGTCATTTTTTAAGTGGTGTGGGAAGTGCATCTTTAGGATATACTGTACACTTGTTTCTGGCTTGGACCAGAATGCCAGGGCCCTGCTGAGCTTCCGCTGAATGGAAAGTCCCTTCAGCATAGTAATGTGGGATTGCACTCCATTAAGTTTAAATTCCTGTAAGCACAATTTTTGGAGCAGAGGAACTCTGCCATACATACAGTATATTAGACTCAATTCTCCCAGCCCTTGTTCTGTTTGTTTCAGGTGCAAACAGATCCCTCTGGTCTTTATATTGCAACAAGCTGCTCTGACAAGAATCTTTCCATCTTTGATTTCTACTCAGGCGAGTGTGTGGCCACAATGTATGGGCACTCAGGTACGTTGCAAACCTTTATTGTTGATGAGTTGAGCATTCTTTGGAGGCTATTTTTAAAGTGCAGGAAGTAGATTTTTTCAACCACATGTTGGTTTATTACAACATGGGAAGGCATCATGCAGTCAGCAGATTTCATTTACTCCCAGAACTGGTTCTCTCGGCCCCTATGACTGCTACTTAATTTCATGGTACAGTGATTGAAGTGGTTGAAAGGGGGAAAAAAGCCTGGATTTTGTTTCTAAACCAGGTAGCCAGGTTTGCTTTAGTTTGAAGGACACTTTTGCTCTTGGAAGATTCTCCAGGAAAGAGAGCTATCGTTTAAAACAAAGTGATTTTGTTCTTTATTTCTAAACTTTTGGATCCAACAGCGAGGGGGACATTTCTTCCATATAATGTTGATGTTTCAGCAGTGGCAGTGGAGCAAAGAATTGATATCAAAGCAAACAAGGTGCCCTTCTCCTGCATACAGTTATTTTCACTCAATTCCTTAGAAGATTTGTGTTATGCTCTTTGGCTAATGGCCCCAAAGCACATCCCACTACTAAGGAAATGGGGGACGGGGACGGTGTTGTGGCATCTTAAGGACTAAGGTGTTTTATTCAGCATAACCATTTTATGCACTACAACTTATTTCTTTGATATCATTTTTGTAATCCTTGTTTTTACTACAGCAGGATATCATTGCTACCCCTTGGAAATGAAATGTGATTAATGCACTAAAAGCCACACACATAAAATAAAACAAATCCTGCCAACTTGAGCAGCCGTAAGGTGCTGTTTCTGCCTGCCTTCCTTTTTATTAGACTGGTGCTGGTTGGCTAAGATGTTAGCTGGAGCTGGAGCAAACAATTATGTATTCTTTGCCTGCTTCCTTCTCTTTCCTCACTAATCCTTCAGATCTGGACTTCTAGTTCAGTTTTATGTGTAAAATGACCCAGTGTGGAGGAGTCAGGCTGGTGAACTAGGATTTGATTGATGTATACCAATTGCACCAAAATGTACAGCTGACAAACTCTAAACTGTTGAGTTGATGACATTGTGCATGGGCAAATTCTGAGAACTGTTCTCCTTGGCCTCCTAATTTTTACAGAGATTGTAACAGGGATGATGTTCAGCAATGATTGTAAACACTTGATCTCAGTCTCTGGTGACAGGTAAGCCAACAGGCATTTCTGTTTTAACAATCTCTTTTATTTATTAAATAGAAGCTAGTGCATGTACACATAAGTATGCCCATGGGTATGCACACACAGAGAGAGAGGGAGATGCATTTATTTGATGTGAATGTCAATGTCCAAATGTAAGCTTTCCAAAGCAAGATTTGTTCGATGTATTGGGAATATTGAGGAAGTGTGTATAAAACGATAGCATTCAGGACTTTTGCAGTGTCCAGATGAAGGGAGGTGGTGGGTTCCAGGTGAGTAAGAGTGCACTAAAGAGTAGGCTTCAAGGAGGGAATACAGACAGAGCCTCATGGCACAGTGGTTAAAGTGCAGTACTGCTGCCAAAACTCTGCTCACAATTTCGGTTCAATCTCAGGTAGCCAGCTCCAGGTCCACTCAGCCTTCCATCCTTCCAAGGTCAGTAAATAAGTACCCATCATGCTGTGAGGGCAGTGTGTGCCCTGCATAATTAAATTAACTGCCCAGAGAGTCCTTTAAGTGCTATGGGGCAGTATTTAAGCAGCACACTTTTTATTGAAGCTTGCAGAGCATGTATCGGCACATTGCAGGAAAGGATCAGGATCTGTGCCACAAACTGTGGCTCTCCAGATGCTGTTGAACTAGAATTCTCATCATGCCTCATTATTGAGCAGACTGGTTTGGGCTGATGACTCCAGCTGTATGCTAAACACTTCATATACTTCTCTGGCTTCCAGCTGTATTTTCATCTGGCGTCTGAGTTCTGAAATGACAATCAACATGCGGCAGCGGCTGGCAGACATGAAACAAAGAGGAAAGCAGGCAGAGAAAGCACAACCAGGCAAAACCACTGGTGTTACCAGGTAGGAGGAGGTTGCACTCCTGCTTGAACAGTTTTTATTTTTCTACTTACTGCTTTGAATGTGTTTTTGGTGTTGCTTCAATTTACCTTTTATAGTGTGGCATTTATTTGTTCCTTTTTAGTACTTGTTTACTTACTGTTGTTAGATTTAAATATTGTTTTTTAGTGCTGTAAGCCAAGCCGTCTTGGGTCCTTTCTGAGGAAAAAGGCAGGGTAAAAATATTTAAATATGTTAATAAATAAAATTAGTAACTGAAAATGACTTACTTTGTATTTATTGATGACCTGATGCAAGTATCTTCTGTTGAATGTTTTGTGTCTGTATTGAGAATGGGCTAATTAAACTAAAGCTGTCAGGATGTCATCTTCTGCTCTCTCAAAATAATGTTGCTAGGGAGATATTATGGGACAAAGAAACCTCGTATGAAAATATCACCATAGTGGAACATTGAACAAGGTCACACACACAACAATGTCCAGGCAGTGTGCTATTTTACATTATCTTCCTTCACATCATCTCTTCTTTAGCTGGTTAATCTGTTTTATCAAAAATATTGAATGTTATCCAATAATCCATGAAAAAAGCATTTGTCGACACTTTTAATTCTATGATGTGCAGGATCATATATGTGATGTTTGCCAGGTGTTTGTCTGTCTCACTTCAGGGGACAGGTATGATAGCAACAAGCAGATTTAGTTGGAAGCAGAGAAATCTGTAGTGTGATAAAACTTCTGTGGTGTTAGAAAAGGTAGTGAGAGAAATAATTTGAAGCAGTCAAGTGGCTGGACTGCTTCAAATGGATTTTTGGACATGTGAAGAATTATGAATACCTCCATGTCAGAAGATGGGGTCTTACGAAGCAAAGGACTTCCTCATTTCTCTTAGGCAAATATGTTTTATGCTATGAACTCTCATTAGCTTCTAAAAAGAAATGGCGGCTGAAGCCTATCCAAAATTCATACGACCTGCAAAGTTAACTTCTTCAGTAGAATTGGTGGTGGAGGGAGGCAGCAAGAGACAGGGGAGGATGGAGGAAGAAACTCTCAGCGTATGCTCAGGAGTGCTCTGATCTGTCTACATCTCTCCAGGGTGAGCTTTTTAACTGCAAGAATCTGCTTCCTCTTGAGTCACTGGTGACATTAAAACCCAGATGTTGTGTCTATAATAGCCTTGCCTCTTTGCCTCAGTTTGTTATTTAGTTCTGGAGGACCGTTTTCAAGCCAAAAATGCTGGCGCTGTAGATCAGTGTTCTTTTTTTAGCAAGCCCTGCACCATTCCAGCAGCTGCTCAGCTTTGCCTTTTTTTGAGGTGCAGCCTGTATCAGACACTCCCGCTTTCCGTCAATATTATAAGGCTCATTTGTCACATGTTCTCACTTAGAGGGTTGCGTCTGTGACATACCAAACCCTGCAGCTTGTTGGAAAACACGTTTGGTGACCTCTTTGCTTAAGCTAGATACTTTCTGTTGGACCAGCTTTGCCAAGAGTTGTTTTCTGCACTGGCCTCGGTTGAATACAACTGGAGAGCTGAGAATGCTAGTTACTGAACTTTGGATGTAAGCTGCTATCAGAGCATCACTGTATGGAGCTAAAAGGCTGTGGAACTTTTGTAAGGCACGTTTCTGCATTGTTTCTTTTTTTATATATAAAATTGAGCTTTATTTGTGTAAGTTTGGAGATTGATAGATCTTTGTTGCTTCTCAGTATTTGTAAAGATACCAGTGTAGCCTAGGAGAAAGATCTGCAGGAACATTAAGCTGGCCTGGAATAATTTTAGCTGACTTCTCTAGTTCCATTATTTAGCCTTTGTATAAGAAACAAGATAATGGATGGAATATATTTCTGGAAACCTGCTAATCCTTTAAACAGGTCTATAAAATGGATGGGTCAAGTAGGAACTCTTGGGAAAGTTGTGGGACTGAGGCTGCTGATTTGGTAAGTGGGAGAATGGAAGAGTTTAGACTGGAAACTGAATGTTCTGTTCTGAAAATGATATACTGTATCATGAATGAGATCCTAACAGTCTGGAGTTTTAGGACTATGGTCTTGAATTCACATGGTCCCTTCCCAGCCCTTGCCCTTATCTTCTGTTATTTAATTTTCTCCAGTCCATAGTTTATCATAATGTTTGACCTGGCAAATGGTGGATGATACATTGCTATCATTTTTTCAAACTGACCAGAGTGGGCTGTTTTCAAGTAGTAGTAACCATAGTCTGCTGATTCAGATGCTGCAGTAGATTGAGGATTAGCAAACCAAGAAGCCGAAGAGATAAGTGAAAGGGAGGAGGAAGAGAAGGATGTGAGTCCACAGCACATTGGCAAGTCTTCATAGTTTGGGAGAATGAGTCTGGGCCACTGGAGTGAAATGTTCGGCTGATGATCACTAAGAATGACATGGAACCTTTCATCTGTTTATCTAATAACAAATCTTTTTATTGTACAGATTTTTAAAAATGTCTTTCAATTATGCTTTGCTCAAGGTTGAGGTTCTACTGTCGAGAGTTTTATGATCCATTCCCCTCCCCACCCCCAAACAATCAAGTTGCTCTTTTATGTAGAAGCTGGTTAGGGAATAAAAGTGTAATAAATCCATTCTGCACAATAAGCACTGTTGATTTTTAGGCCAAGACTCGTACAAAATGCATTCTGCTTTCTTACTTGCTTTCTTCTTCATTTTTGTTTGTGGAACCATTTCTTTTTAAACCATGCAAGCAAAGTTATATATTGATTTTACTGTGTAACATGTTGGGACATTTATGCCTTGTTTGCTGGAAATGCCTTGTCATTTATGAACAAATATGAAGTTTCTTTTCCTTTGTGATTGTTAGAAAAAAATGAACCTTTTGCAATTTCCAGGAAAGTGCACATTCTAAACTGTTAAAACTGACTGCAACCAGTAAATAAAGGTAGACAATTTGTACTATTCTGTGAAAGTCTTGTTTCCCCCCAGAGTTATTGGTAGCATATGAGTTCTTTCTAGAAAAATTGGATTGTATCCATTTTTTTTTTCTTTTACATTGGTGGTCTTGTCACTTCCTTGTGATGGATGTCTGTTCAACTACCTTTGTTGAGTTTTTTGCTTTTTGGAATATGTAGTTTTAGGGAATATTAAGGACTGTGGTTGAGAGAGGGTTAAGCGCTGAAGAACTTCTCCTGTATCGTTTACTACCTGCAAGAGCTGCTACTTATTGCCAGTGGCTACCAAGGCCCTGGAGGAGATAAAGTTCAAAGTAACTATCAGGACGCCTTTCTGTCATAGACAGCGATGATCTCTGCCTTACGTACATAGATCTGAGGCAGATAAAAGGTAGTGTGGGAGCTTCTCTGAGGCAGAAACAAATGAAACAGCACCTTTGCAGTTAGAGGTGGAGCAGTTAAGAAGGAAAAGACGTCTCATTATTTTCCAGCAAGTTGCAAATAGCTTGATTTTGTTTGATGCCATTGCAGGTAAATATTAGCCTCTATTTGCATGTTGATTTTGCAAAGACTGCCACTACTGGAAATGCATATGTGGAAAGATAACCTTTCATCACCTTCTGCTAGCTAAGCAGCTTTAGGTGATTTGTGGCAGTTTGGCAAGGGTACACATGGCACATCAGATGGGGACTCAGGAGAGGGCTTTGTCTGTTGTTGCTCCCAGACTTTGGAACTCCCTCCCACAAGAGACCAGACTGGCCACATCTTTGCTGTTGTTTCCCAAGCAGAATTGCAGATGAGAGATTGGGTCTCAGGATGTAAAAAAGACATGATAAATTTTTATACTTATTTTAAAAGCTTGACATGTTTCAACAAATGGCCTTCTTTGGGAGCTCAACATTAAAATAGAAATAAATTAGTCAAGAAACAGCAAGCAAGGGACAACTGCAAATAATATGGTATTATATTACTATATTAGTAATATATTACTATACCTTGAGCTTTTAAACAAGAATAAAATTTATCATGTCTTTTTTTATATCTTGAGATCCTATCTCTCATTTGAATTCTGCCACAGGTGGATGTACCAGTCCTCTGTTTTTTTGTTTCCGCAAGCAGGCAAAAGATCTTTCTCTTCTGGCAAACTTTCCCTCAGTGGCTAGCTACATGAATGTCTTTTAGATGGATTGTTATGCATTACTGCTGTGACTGGATCTTTAGTATTACTTGTGTTCCCATCTCTCAGAATGGTATTTGTTTGTACCTCTTTAATATTTATATACTTGCTGTTCTAACTTTAATATTATCTTTTAACGATGTAAGCTGCCCCTTTATACTCATTGTTTTCAGCATGTCTTTCAATGATGTAAACTGCTTTGGGTTCTTTTTAAGGAGAAAGGCAGAGTAAAAATAGTCTAAACAAACAAACAAACGAGTAAGTGTTTCTGCCCACACATTACTTAACAATAGCAACAATTAATTTTATTTAACCAGCATAGCTAGCGGGTGTGTGAAATTAGTGATGTGCCCTGATGGCATCAAGCAGAGAGTGAGAGCTCTCTTGGTGCCCGTTTGCCCTACTTTTCATATTTTTGGCAAGCTACACTTTGCTGAGGAAGCTGCTCCTTAGCCAGACTGTCCCATATTTGGTAGATCAAGTTATTTCTGTCTTCTGAATAAGGTCTTCGACTAGGCACTGATCTGTCATGCTTCATAAAAGTTGCTAGTGGCATGCTGGGCTTTCTGATGGAAGGTCACAGAAGAAGTGTGATGTTTGTGGATGTGACATGACTTGGAACTGGGCAATTGTAGCTGTTAAGTCAGTACTTGGAGTGGATGAAAGGGAAAAAATGTGAGTCTGATGAATGTTTATCCTTATGGCTCATACCAGGAATTCCTGTTTTATCTGTTTTGATTAAAGTTCTATGATAGGTATGCTAGGCACTCTTTTATTGCGTCTCAGGATAATGAGCAATGCAACATGCGACCAATCTGTAATGTTAAGTGTCTGCCGCTAGGTTTATAGTGCAGTCTTTCTTATTATATTGCAGATTTTACCTCCCTTTCCCCACAGTGGTTAAACTGCCTTTGTGTGGCATGGCAACTGCTATATTGTCTTCCTAAAATGAAGCATAAAAGAATGAGAGGAAATAGTTAAGGCCAAAACTTAATTGACATGCCATCAATTTTTAGTGGGAGAGAGTAACATGTTGATACAACATTCAAGGTTTTCACAGAAAGGGAAATAAAGTTCTTACTTTTGCTTTGCTGTTGGGCTTGGCAGTGGTAATGTTTCAAATAAAAAGATGTCTTAATCACCAGGTCTGATATGTGTTTCTAACCTACCAATACGATTTTAAGATAGGTCTCTGAATGACTTAACATTCAATTCCTCCTGCCTCCCAACCTCTCCAGTTTGGACATCCTCTTTTTGAGTCGTGGAGCTTCATATGAGACTGTTTTGGATAAAGAATTGTGTGGTTCATCATGTAATTTATGAAAATTCTCCTTTTCATTCTGCTTTTTAGGCATGAATCAGCCTCTGTCCTCTCATCTGCACCGGTGCTCTCATCGGACAGCGAGAAAGATGGTGAAGATGAAGGGAATGATGAGGATGAGTTACATGGTCTGCAAGCCTTCCAAAGGCAGACCAGCTGCAACACTGAAAGGGATTCAGGTAAAAGAGGAAAGGAGGGTGGTGCCGTGGAAAGAAGAATAAATGTGGAGAGAAAATTAAGCATTGGAGAGGGTTGCTGATGGTTTGCACAGTGATGTACTTCTTGATTTTTTTCTTCGTGACATTTTTCATGGAGTTGCATAGGGTTAGTAGTATGGACCACCAGTACACAGGACGCCAGACAGAAATTTGATCATAATTGTACCAACATGTGGAGGAACACTGAGTTTTTGAGAATTTTTGCAGTGCACCCATTTACTGCTGTATCTCACAAAGTCTTTCTCCAAAAAAATTGTGCCCTTGGGAATAATATACTGTATGTAGAGAGAAAACATTATCTGCCGTATCTCACAAAGTCTTTCTCCAAAAAAATTGTGCCCTTGGGAATAATATACTGTATGTAGAGAGAAAACGGCAGATAATGACAGTGAGCCATCTCGGAGGGTGTGGGAAGAATTAGGAGTATGACTGTGTGCCTAGTGTTTGCATGCACAGTTGACATCCCAGGTGTTTGCTCAGCTGAAATGTAAATTGGTACTGTCACTTCCACTAGGGAATCATACATATGCTAAGCAGGTTGCTACTCAATTAGCTTACTAAAAAGAGCAATCCACTCTGTGTGTGTTTTGTGTGTATTTAGTGACATTTCAGTGAAAGCAAATCATGCTTCAAAAATTTTTTTTAAGTGGGTTGTGATTTCTTGTACATAGCTAAACATAAAGTGTTCTGTGTTTGGTGCTGGGTGCATGAAGAACTGAAGGCAGGGAATGAAAAAACAGAAGAGGTTTATGTATTGGAATTTGACTGCTCTGTTCTGGTTTTTCTCCTAGGTTCAGACCTTTCTCTTTCAAGAAGTTTATCCCACTGGGAAATGAGGAGGGTGAGCTTTAATACACATTTTAGAAATGACTGAAAGGTGGATAGATGTAGATGGAGTTAGTTTGTCCTAAGATGCATGATGTGTTGCTGTGACATGCCATTTTCTCTGTGTTGTGGCATTCTTAGAATAAATTGACAATACGTCAGGGGATTCAACTTATCTAACACACTTCATTTAGTACAGTAGCTGTCTGCAGGCCATTGTCCATTATGTGAAAATAGGTGTTCTCATGTTACTTTTGCATTGGCTCCCTTCTTATACAAGGCAGGAACTGCTAGTCTTAGAAAGCTGGTTGTCATTGATAAGATACATGTTCTGAGTGGTTTGCCTGCTTCAAATAAGAACAGCCCCCAAAAATGAATTGTTTATACATCGGTAACATCACTTTCCCATCCATTCTAAGACAAGCTTATTCAGTGCAGAAGCTATAGTGGTAAATAGAATGATTCTAGTGTATGAAACTGATGCTGAAGTTTTTATAAGAAGGCCTGTGCCATACTCTGAGGGTGATAGGTTAATCCACCCACTGTCTGTCTTTATGTTTAGTCGCATCACAAACAGTGTATGAGAGACTTTTCGCCTTAGTTAGTGTTAGACCATATCCATTATGGACATACTTTATTATTAAATGCAGTAGAACTAGATTATGTATGTAACTCCTCAGCAGCTCCAAGGTCATTGTTCGAGAAAAATATAGAGAAATCACCTACTCCCAGTGGTCTCCCATTCTTCTGAGAGTCTTTCAGATACCCCAGGACTGGATCAGGAGTATGGAAACCATGTCCTTTTGAAAACATGACTAATGTTTAAATTCTAATAATACAATTTCCCCTTTTGGCCGAAATGGGGCTCTTATCTCATTCCCTAGCTCTTATGATGAATGTTGATTCTTCTGGCCTGGTCTTGAGCCTGAAAATGCACCCTCTTACTAATGTTTAAATTCTAATAATACAATTTTCCCCTTTGGCCCTCTTCCTCCCTCCCTCCCTCCCTCCCTCATTGTTCTGGAGCAATATGACTGTCTGAGCAAGTTCATTTTTAAAAGACCCTGGTTTGCCGGTTTATTTTAAACTGCCTTTTTTTAATCTTAGGCAAAAGAAATGGCATTGATCCAGGGTTCAGAGACTGCTATGAGCAAGGCACCTCGGCAGCGTGGCCGCTGGTCCCAGCCCACAAGCAGCATAGAGATGACAGTTAAATCCATGCTTGATTTACGCCAGCTGGAGTCTTTCTCAGTCTCCCGTTCTGCTAGTCACGATTCCCTTTCTCAAGTCAGTGTTGGGGATGACCAAGAAGAACATCCTGATCTCTCTCTGTGTGTCAATAATGTAAGAAATGAGAAGATATCATTGGAATATATCATATGGGGGAGGGGGTTGGGATTATGTTTTACACCAAGTTTGGTGACCTCATGAAATTCAGATTATTACAGACTGTCATAAAACTGAAACTATGTTGGTAGGGGAGCAATGTACAGAAATACCCTGCTTAACACATCAGTTTAACACTTTTGTTATAACATGCTTTCATCACCCTCTCAAGAGTCCATCCATCAATCATTCTTTGATTGGGACAAATTGCCCATCTTTTTTCTCCATCTCCTCTCTCCCTCTCTCTGCTTCTGCCCCCTCCCTCAGCTCCCTTTCACATGCAGTCTTCCAGACTGGAACACACATACTACCCACACATATACAAGCACATACAGAAGGAGGCAAGCAAGTGGTCAGTTGTTCAGGACTTCTCCCATAGCTCCTTCTTCCTCACCAGCCCCTTCTCACATGGTAAAAGAGTCAAAAGCACCCAATGTATGGGGAAGCTCAGGCAGCTCCTGTTTTTATCTTACCTTTCAGGCCTCTTTTCCCCTGACACACAACACACACTCCCTCTTTCTCATTTCTTCTTCCACTCTTTCTCCCCTATATTTTCACCAGTCCTATAAAGTGTAATGTTTTTACTTTTTACTGATATTTTGGTTAGCACTCCACATTCCGGGATTATTTCCTGAGCACTAACTGGGGTATTACTGTATGAGGCCACAGATAGGAGATGCTCAGTTTTAAGGTACCTTCATAAGTAGTCATGAGTCCTATGTTTGGTTGTTGTGGGTTTTTCTGTGTTCCGGAGGTTTTTCTTCCTAACTTTTCACCAGTCTCTGTGGCCGGCATCTTCAGAGGACAGGAGTTAGAACTCTGTCTGTATTCTGGTGTAGTGTGTGGGATAGTTGAGTAGCTGTGGGATCAGCTTTTTATCCTTTTCGGGATATTGTGTGATTATGATGATCAGGGTGTTTTTTGTTATGGGTGTATTGTTGTGATAAGGGGGGAGATAATCTGTCACTGTGATTGATAAGTCTTGTTAGCTAGTCTTTTGTGTGCAGGCCACAGAGATTGGCGAAACGTTGGGAAGAAAAACCTCCAGAACATGGCCAAACAGCTCGAAAAACCTACAACAACCACTGGATCCTGGCTGTGAAAGCCTTAGAGAATACATTCCTATGTTTGCTGTTATTGAATGACTATAGAAGTATGAGTAAATGAGAAAGCTCTTTCTTCTTTACTTTTGTTAATTGAAGAGATGCAGTAGCTGGAGGAGCATGTGAGCAAGACCAATAGATTAGCTCATGTATTTCCTAAATTGTTAGCTACAGTTTTTCTTCTACATGTCAGGCAAAAAATATTGTGCATTGTTTTATTGTAGCAAAGGCAACAAGGCTCACCTCTACCTTGTTATACAGGTTGGAAGCTCCACAGCTCCTCAGGAAAACCAGCCTTGTGTTCGACCCCAAATTATTCGGCTTGTGTCCTGTGAAGGTGGAATTTTCCCACAGGAACTTGAGCCTTCAGAGAGCGAGGAATGTGTGATTTACCCAGAACAAGATGAGATTCACCCTACAGACATTAGCAGGTCAAAATTTAATTCATTTTGGTATCTTGAATTGAGCTGCCTAGACTGTTGTTTTCCTCCTTCAGTTTTAATGATTTGATGATTGGGATGAGGTAGCCTGTTGTTGGCTACATATGAAGAGTTATTAAAGGATTGTAATTCTGGGAATATAGTGAGCTGAGGCCCAATGAACTAGTATTTGCTTGTGTCATATTTCTCCTTGGATGAATGTCTTGTGGGTCTCTTGTTCTCTCTTGTTCTCTGTTCTCTTTCACCCTTGTCTGGTTGAAATTGTTTGACCCTCTCCTGGAAACAACCAAAACAGAGAGGGTGTTTGGAAATGCTAATAACATGACTTGGAAAACTCAGGTGGTAACAAAGAGAAAACCAGGAGAGAATACTTTCCCTAGTCTCCTTCCATGAACCTCACCCTTTTAAGATTTAACCCTGACATCCCTGTTTCTTTCTTACAGCAAATTTCACTGTAGTTATTTTACACTTCCTTCCATTCCCTATAAACATAAAATGCAATGGTGGGCTCTGGATGTGCTTGCATTGAGCTATTGCATTCCAGTGTTTTTTAAAGGCAAAACCATTAGTTGCCCTCCCACCTCTTCCCCACCCCCTTTGCTTCAGATAGGTATTCAGTGTTACAATTCTAATATTTAAACGACGCAGGATGTGATTTTTCAGAGTAGTTAGAACGTGAGGGAGGTGCACTCTGGACAGCACCGCAGATGTGCTGCTTACATAATTTGTGAAAGACTGAGTAGTGTGAGTAAATAATATACTCAACAATAGTAGTCTTCATGCTTGGGTAGAAATATAGTAATTAAGATGTTTATGTCTACTTATCAAGCTAAAGGAAAATGTGTGGGGCATCAGCTGACATACATTCTGCTGGACCTCACTGCAAGATTTGTTACGGTGATGTATCAAATTGCTGATTGAAAATTGCTGTGTTTGCTCATTGGCTGGTTTATCTGTAAGGGACACCGTGATAATGTGCAAAGGTGGTTGTTTTAAGTCTAAGACACCATACAGATGGTCTCTTAAATCATGACTTATTGGTATGTGAGGAAGATACAGAATGTACTAAATATTTTACTCAACAAAACTGAACGTTCTCCTGCAGTGTTGGAAAGCTGTAATAAGAGTAGCATTGGCTTAGTGTCTGAGAACCAGCATCTGAGTAAAACTGACAACACAGAACATAAGCAAAATAGTCAAAATATCACTGTCCAATTTTTTGGAAATGAAAGCTTTGCATAAATGGTGAAGAATTTAGGCTTTAAAAGTTACTTCACAATGAAGGAAGGTTGTTATTACAGGTAAGGTCTTTCAGTGTCCACTTATTTTAAAAAAAAAGAGGAAATGAAAGCTCTGATTCTCATACCGTGTCCTTCCCCCCTTTCACAGTGAGTTCCAGGTAAAAGCACTTCCTCATGGGAAACTAGGTAGAGCGTACAACAGCAATGGGTGCCCAGACAAACACAGCCCTGACAGCGCCTGCTCCATGGATTACAGTAGCAGCCGATTGTCGAGTCCAAATGAAGGTGAGAGATTTGAATAATTTTTTTCATTTGGACTTGCCATCTACATCATTCTGAAAATGTGCATCCATGTAGTGCGTCATTTAGCAGGTATAAGAAGAATAAAGTAGAGGAAACTGAGAAAATAACATGTCAAGCCCATGTGAGGTTAGCTGCCAGAAGCCACACCATCTGAAAAGATTTTGCAGTGTTTTCATGTGTTTGAAATTGGGCGATGCCACCTTTCTCCATAAACTGTAGTGTGCCTCTTCTTGAATGGCATTTAAAAATATATATTTATTTATTTCCATCATATGCTGCCTTTCTCCCTGAATTGGGACCCATTACTTGAGCATGGTAGATACTTGCAAGTCAATTTTTACCTGAGCTGGTTCCCATTTTAGGTGCTTTGCCTTCCATTACACTTCTGTCAGCCTTACATTAATTTTCCTGCTATCTCCCTCTCCCTCTCCCTTCCTCTCTCATAATATTTTGGAGCTGTGCTAGATATGACCATGTTCATGGAAAAAGGAGTAGCATGGATGCTTTTGAAAAAGGATGGAAAGATGAATATTCTAGTTTGGCTTGGGATTGTGGCAAGGACAGGCTAAACCTTTCCTAAACAAAGAAAGCTTTAGCCTGTTTCCAACCACCTCCTCCTGTTTTGAGAGACAGCTATATACAGCATCTTGAGTTTATCAGAGGAAAGGGGGATATAAGTGTGACAAAGTACCAAATAATAAAAAGGAACAATAGCTAATGATAACACTCCAGCAGTGCCTGGAGGGACCATACATTCCCCACCCCCTGCTCTAATGCTATTGAGTGCAATAGGGAAATTCTGAGGCTGTGTAGACTAGAAAAGAAGTATTCTTCCCCACTCCCTGGCAACATGCTGCTGGAACAGAATCCAACAGCTCTTCCTATGAGAGGCTGATACCGTGCTTCAGTTCCCACATGTGTCAATTCTCGATGGCATCCTTCAGTCTCGAAAGACTATGGTATCGTGCTCTGTATCGAGGACTTGGAACAGCGTCTAGTGTGGCTGAGAAGGCCAATTTGAGAGTGACAATCCCTTCCACACTGAAGACAAATCCAATCTGTCCCCTATCCAGCTCCTTGGTTTGAATATTCTAGTTTGGCTTGGGATTGTGGCAAGGACAGGCTAAACCTTTCCTAAACAAAGAAAGCTTTAGCCTGTTTCCAACCACCTCCTCCTGTTTTGAGAGACAGCTATATACAGCATCTTGAGTTTATCAGAGGAAAGGGGGATATAAGTGTGACAAAGTACCAAATAATAAAAAGGAACAATAGCTAATGATAACACTCCAGCAGTGCCTGGAGGGACCATACATTCCCCACCCCCTGCTCTAATGCTATTGAGTGCAATAGGGAAATTCTGAGGCTGTGTAGACTAGAAAAGAAGTATTCTTCCCCACTCCCTGGCAACATGCTGCTGGAACAGAATCCAACAGCTCTTCCTATGAGAGGCCGATACTGTGCTTCAGTTCCCACATGTGTAATCTATTGTATAAACCTTGTTTGTGTTGTGTTTTCCATTTCAGATTCTGAGAGTACAGAACCTCTCAGCGTGGATGGCACCTCAGACCTTGATGAACAGGTGGGAGAAGATGACGAGATGGACATAAGCACCGGATTGTTGGAGGGAGACACCCCCAGGACTCCAGATCAGGAGAAGTTCCTCAAGCAGCATTTTGAGACTCTAGCCAGTGATGGTGATAAGGGTATGTTTGCAATGCTAGTGGAGAATCCTGTCTTCTCTGTGTCCCCCCCCACCCAAAAAAATTTAGTTTCTTGCAAAATTCCTTCTGGGCCCTCTGTGCTAACAGAGGATAAGGAGGGCGAATTAGAAATAGTGTAGAAAAATCTGCCAGATTTCTTGCAAGCAGTAAATATATCCTGTGTTCTTATATGAAGGCTCTCTAGAAGATGTCCATCCGTCTTGCCAAATGCTTGATGTGATTGGCTTTCTCATTGAATCAAATGCAAATGCAGTCCCTCACTGTGGAAGAACAGGGCAGTGCAAATACTATAGTGGACAATAGGAATATAAAAGCAATCTCCTGTGGCACCTTGAAGATGACCAAATATAGCTAAAGGTGCAGGCTGTGACAATTACATTAAAACATAAAGGTTTGCAGAATACTGACAGTAAATATAGCACTTTTGGAGACACAGCAACATGCTAGCATTGGTAATCTCACTAACACCTGTTATAGGATCCCACCCATCTGTGATACAACTGGCTTGTACAGTTGTCCTCTGGCTATGGAGAGGTTAAAAACATTATGAAGCAAAAGAGAACAATAGTGAAGATTCGTTCTTTCTCATTCTTTCATCCATATTTGGATATACCAAGTAGAGTCTCATGTGATGTATAGTTTGAGATAGGATAGTTTCTCATATTTAGTAATATGCAGCATTTGAAGAAGAGAAATACTGGTAAATAAAGGGATTACTGAACTGACAGTTAGTTCTAAACAGGAAATATTGTTTAATGTTCCTTAACATTGTGGTAAACAGTTTCATAGGGTTATGTTGGGGGGAAATGGTCACAGTTCAATGGTAGAGCATATATGTTCCACAGAAAAACCTGGTTGAATTCCCAGCTTCTCCAGTTAGGTCCATGAGGAAAATCCATCTGAAAGCAAGGTTCTGCCAGTCATCGTAAAGAGTGTGGACTTTATGTGGCCTCACTTCCTGTATTTTTATCTGGGGCTTTTCTTATCTTAGGTTTTAATAACAATTTCATATCTTAAATGTGCATAGGGACTAAACTGAGAGCATATGTCCATAGGTTAATCGTGCCTCAGGTATTTTATGCATAAAGTCTGCAGTCACATGCATGCTTATGTAGTAATAAGTCCCATAGAATCTAGAAAGGTTTATGACTGAACATGCACAGGGACAAGATGTATGGGCAACAAAGTATAGCACTGCTTTAGAGATTTACATGCACCATCTCCATAACGCAATGAACATTTCTTGCTGAAATGCCACATCAGAAGAGGTGTCATTTCCCACTAACATGCATGTGTCTTCTTTTTAATTGGCAGGTGGTTCATGTAGGAACTTGGAGAGAACAGAGAAGAGTATTTCTTCTCGTTTCCTATCCCAGACCCCAGCTGCAAGGTAGGTTCTCATTGCTCCTCAGCGCTGGATAGTCTGGTTATGGTTTGGCTTGGACAGGACAATCTCAAATCTTCTGCATCCTGATCTTGGCGCCTCTTAGCAAAGTGGATAACTTTCATGAAGATTCCAGCCTCTTTTAGATGCCTCTTTTTAATAGGATGAAGGCCAGAGTTTCTTGAGTTTGATCATGAGTGTTGTCATTACTTTTCTTTCTTCAGTCTTCCAGCAAACTTCAGGAGAATATAGATAAATAAAATCTGGCTTATATAAGAACTGAACATTGCCATCTCATTTACTCTTCACCATTTATGCACTTTGATTTATTTTTGCATTTTATTCAACTTGGACAGTGAAAAAACATACTATTCACTTCTTTTTACTGATCAGCTTTAATCTGGTTTCCTTACCTTGGCAAATTCAACTGACTGAGCTCCAAACACTGCATGAGAATTTTATGACTTTTTAAAAAATCCAACCTTTTTTACTTGATAGAATTGATTGGGGAAAACTATCAAATTGTGAATTGGAGAAAGGGTAGTTATGAATGTTCGGCTGTATAGAGCTTTTTGTGATATTTCCAAGAGAAGTACAAGATATACTGAGTAGCCATAACTATTTGCCAAAACCTTCAGGTTAATGTTAAATTTTGGGGTTTGAGGTAGAAAAAGAGGCAGATTTTTCATTATGCAATCCTGGGAAGTAGACACACATGTCCCATGTGGACAAAAGAGATGATTTAGATCAGCTAAGACATTTAATGGAGAGGAATGTACCTTGGTTATAACTATAGCTTCTCTTCCCTCACTGGAACCTCCCTTTCTTCCCTCTTTCACTAAATCCTATCATATATAGTGGTCTTGTGTATGACTAGTCTTTGTTCCCCTACTGATTGTTCTGTTAACATCCAAGGGGAAACCGTTTGTTAAGAAATTTTGACTTTTAGAGTTGTCTTGTGTTTTTGTAACCACCAGTTACAGAGGCTATTTTGTTTTTTGTTTTTTAAACGGGAAACAGTATTGCAACCTTACATATTCTGTCCTGTCTTTATTTCTGCAGGCAGCTATCACTTTCTTCATCAAATCTAGTGCTGGATCGGAAGTCAAGTGAGGGCCTTGCCATGCCAAAACACATTTCTGCTGATCTTCTGAAAAATGGGATTGAGCACCAGAATTCAACCATAGAGAATGGCATTTTTCAAAATGATACTAATTCCTTTAGGTCACTTTATATGCAAAGAAAGAGGAAGCCTGCTTTAGAGATCAGCAGAGGCCCGGGAAGATCCATGGGGCCTTTCCCAGATAGTGATGGGTCAGTGGTGATGAGAAAATCCCAATCAGTTCATGACCTGGTTCACAATGGTAAGGAAGTGGTTTGATACTGTGATGAAATAGTCAAGAGTGACTAGTCGTACAAACCTGTCCAGCCTTAGAGAGGAGAACAAGTAATTTCCAGCTCAGATGCCTGTATGTGTGCGAACATAGAGGTATCTGAATATCTTGGGTTAGGTTGAGCTGGAAATGCACAGAACAAAAGGAATTGCGAATTTCCATTTTTACTGGTAGAATAAGGAGCTTATCCTCTCAAAATCAGCCATTTTAAGTAGTTGACCAGCATGTTGCTTGGCAGAAAGACAGACCAAAACCAGAAACATTGCCATTTATTTTTATGCCTCTTCAGCAGGACAATTATAGCAGATCTCTCTCAATTTATAGCAGATGTGTGATTTGTTTATAATTTAGGCTATGCTCTTATTATGTGTGGTGCTTTGCATACAGGCATAAACCAGATGGCTGTTTTTCATTCTAAAGAAGAAATACTGTTGTATATACTAGGTGGAATAACCTACACCTTCCAAAATCAAACATATTATATCACCTCTACTCTCATCTTTAATATGTAGACAGTAGTCTGTTTAGGAAGACTATCTATAATGTGAAGTTGCTGCACAGAATGATTCCGTGATTATTGTCACTTTACTGCTGCTCAAAGCTGAGTGGAAAATAATTATGCTTAAAAGCTGGAGCTGTTTTAAATCTCTCTGCACAAATTGCTCTGTATGGGTTGTGCCCATTTATTTCTTCCATTTCTACAGATAAAGGCCCAGGGGTGATGCCTTCTGCCAGGCAGCGTCCTCAAACGCTAATGGTAGGTGACAAGGACCCAAGGTCAAATAACTGTCGGGTGTCGCCTACAGTTTTCTTGAAGATGGATGGCTCCAATCCTCTGCAAACCAAAGACAGCAAAGCTATGAAACCAAAGTCTTACATGAGCCCCACCACTAGCTTCATGGCCAAGATGTCCCGTAGTGTATCCATGGGAGAGAATCTATGCCTTGGTGACTCTGCAGAGAATCTGACTGAGGTGAAAGTTACTCCACAAGTACCAGAAAAGAAACAATTAAGTCCTGCAGGTGACACTGAGAAAAACAAAGGCCTTGTAAAAGAAAATGGCCCAGTGAAACCTGCTCTTCAGCAAGCCACAAGCACTTCATCGCCGAAGTCCTTTCACAACAAGTTAGCATCTAACCATGCCCATTTGATCCTTGACATCCCTAAACCTTTGCCCGACAGACCAACATTGGCTTCTTTTTCACCAACCGCCAAATCAAAAACACACCTAGAGTCCGAGCCTCCCCACTCCCCCGCTGGTGTTGGTAAAAAGAAACACTCCTTTACAGAAGGATGGCCCTCCAAGGCAGAAGGCCAAGCCGTTGGTTCTCTAGCAAATCCTCACACCAGCACTCTAAAAGAGAACCAGGCATTGATGCAAACCAAAGGCCAGCTTGAACCAGGAGCAGCTAATCCCAAACTGGAGGAGTTTTCAGATCGCCTGCTTCCAAAGTCTCCTGTGAAAACGCCAGATGGATGCAGAGAGAAAGCTGCCAGCCCTGGTGGCATGCCAGATAATCAGCGTGAGCTTTGTTCTTGTGAACCAAGTGGGCCAAATTCTCCAACAACTGTGGCAGCGCTGGCAGAGGACTCAGGTGTGCACGGATATCCGTCTCTAATCTTCTTTCCCCTACTGTCGCCTGTCTTTGTGAATCGCTTCACACTTCCATCACATTTCTTTACGTCCAGCTTCTGGCCTGTCTCGTCCTGTCTGCACCTGTCTCGTTCCATAAGTCATCCTTTCAATGGTGAGACATTTTCAGCCTGACATTCATTATCTCTGTACTCAGTTTCTGCTCCCTGTTTATCTTGTGTTCTGTCTTAGTGCATGCAAACTGTGTAGTTCACACCTATTTCCTGCTTGCAAGATGGGTGTAAGAATGGCACAAGAGTATGTTGCCTGATCCTTCAAAGCTATGTTTCCATCTTTGCTGTTGCCTCTTGTCGAATGGCATATAGTATCTAGATACAATGGTTAAAAGCTACCAGTTCTGCTTAGGTGTACATTTAAAATGGTACTTTTAGCTGGAAGAACTGTTATTTAATACCTCTGTAATGTTTGTTGCTGAGAAGATAATTCAGCCTGCAACAAATAGCAGTAAATTCTCACTCTTCTGAGTTTTTTTAAGCTGTTACTGAATAAGTTCTAGGGGTTCATTTTGTAAAGAGAGGCTGTAATGGCACAATGTGATACAAAGTGCATTGGCAACAGTAAAATCCAACAGTATCTGTCAGTGGAACAACTGCCCCTGACAAAATGTATTCTGCCTCCGTCTGTGGCCCCTCGTGCATCCCCAAAATCTGCTATGGAAATTTCAAAAGCTTTAAGAGTAGATTTTGGGGGCATTTGTGATACAGACATGAGGCCATCTGTATAAACAGAAATCTCCTCACATAGTCGATTTTCCTTATAGAATTCTTCCACCTTTCTGTTGCATTTGGTGACTGTGTATGTAAAAAAACAATTTCACAAGCCATTTGAGTCTTTTTATATCACAGATCATATGAATTGGGTTACTTACGTATTTTTCCCTGTATAAAATGATACTTTTTCCTTAAATAATTTGAGAATAATTGAGGGTCGTTTTATACACGGAAGACAGCTCTTCACCATTGCCTTTTGCGAAGGGACAGGGCTTTACCAAAAAGGAAGGGGAGCCATTGCTCCCTTTTTGCTAACCTCTGTGCCTTCTCAAAAGGCAAGGCAGCTTTACCAAAAAGGAAGGGGAGGTGTTGCTCCCTTCCTTTTTGCTAAGCTCCGTGCCTTCTCAAAAGGCAAGGAAAAGCAGCAGTCACTTTGACAGCCGTTTTCCTTGCCTTTTGCCAAGGCGCGGGGCTTAGCAAAAAGGGAGCCCTTTGATCCCTGCTTTTTCTAATTTGGGGTTAGAAAAAGGGGGGTTCGTCTTATACTTTGGGTCATCTTAGACACAGAAAAAATACGGTAATAAGCATTGGGATTTAAAGCTCTACTATAATGAAATATATCACTTTCTTGCAAGGGGCCTAAAATTTTCTGTTTAAGTTTTTAAAAATCAAACTGGAAGTGTGTGGCATAGTATATTTCCATATTTGATTTTGGGTTTTCTAGAGTATCTGAAAACCATGGCTCCTGGGGACATTCCAGGGCAGAAGGACACGTTTTAGTCACTAGATTTTTCCCTCCAAAAAGTGTTGGGGTGTATAAGTACTCTGTGAATGTTAGGTGTGTGTGGCAAAAAGGTCCTGAGGGGAGCATGTGGCCTGTGAATCATATCTTGTCAGTTTCTGCTTCATCATTTCTCCATCCCATATTGATAAAGTAAGGGGAGGAGAACTGGGTGGAAGGAGTTCACTAATCTGTATTACACTGATATTTTTCACCTCCCTAAGGTAGTTAACACACAATAAAAACATACAATAGAAAACATTAATTAACAAATAATGTACCAAAATATTGCTTAAAAAAGACAAATGTCAACTAAAAATGGTTTTCTCATAAAGTAGCATTATCATAAAAAAGCATTAAGCTCATACTTTGAAGAGGCTTTGCTTTAATGAGCTTTAATGAACTATGTAGCACAGGCCTGTGGCTAACAAGAAACTATGTTAACATCCGGTGAACAGAGCACAATTTTTGCTCAGTTTTAGAGGGCAGGGATAGGGGACTGACATCTCACATTCTGCTTTGCTATTGGCTTGCATGTAACTTTGGCACAAAGTTACGTAACACATCTGCTTTCAGTCTTTTTCCATCTTCGAGGCGTGCACATACTACTCCTCACACTGTGCATTCAGTCTGAGAGGAAAATCCTCTCAGACATATGTTTCCAGTGGCCCCCATTTTATAGTCATGTCTGAAAGTACATTTTCACGGCTTCAGAAGTTTTGTCGCTTATTCATCCAAGAACCTGCAATGATTAAATAATGTTCACCAACTGCTCCATGTTTTTTGGGTGCTGGCTTTCAATAATCTCAGCGGCAATGTAAATGGATAGCAATCATTGGAGATGTCCCCAGATGATGAGAAGAGATTGATTACTTTTCTTATTTAGCAAGAACAAGATAGATGAAGCCAATGATTCACACTATAATTTAACAAGACTATGAAGAATACATGGATTTAGAAATGCTAGCTGGTGCTATTTGCTTTGCTTCATATTTGGCATGGGATATACAAGACTTTCCCTAGATTTTCAGCAGGACAGTAACAAAAGCTAAATCATACCTCTGTGTGTGTGTGTCTCTCTGTTTATATGTCAATCAATGTGTGCTTTCATATGTTAGAGCAGAGGCAGGTCACCTCTGGCCCTGGGGCCAAATTTAACTATCCTAGCATACCATTCAAGCCTTCTGGACTCCCCCAGATGGCCATGATATAATCATTTAGCAATTACCCATTTTAATGGGGTTTTCCTCATAAACAGTTGAAACATTATCCTTAAAGCTCATTATTGCTAGGAACAACTTTAAACTAAAATATGCTTATATGTTTCTAACTGCTGGAATGCACCGTCCCAAGAACTTCTCTGAAGTTGCATTTGGACGTCATAGCTGAAAGAGTCCCCCCCCTTCTGTTAGACCTTACTGGGTTAATGCAACAGCAGCTCAGAAGAAAAAGCTATTTTCCTTCTAATAACTGAAGGACAATAATGTAATGTTAATCTTCCCTCCTCCATATGTTGCATCTCACTGCAAAAGATTATTGTATAGAAAAAAATACCTAGTTAGGCTCTGTTGCCTGTTTGGTGTGGGCTCGCTACTATCAGAGCTTCGGCCAAAGAGTCCCTAACATTTGAAAGCTGCAGCACAACTATTCCTTGATTACATTTTCTGGTACACTATTGCACGTGGATTTATAGTCTCCTACACAGGCTGTCTAGGAGACGATTTACAATGAGATGGTTTGTATTTTGTTGTGTTGCCTAACATTCTTAATGTATTTAATGTGTTTAATTTTTTGAATTCACTGTTTTTAGCTTTAGTGTTGTGTTTCAAGCTACCTTGGGTCCTTTCTTAGGAGAAAGGCCAGCCAAAACTATTTTAAATAAATACATAAATTTACTTTCTAAAAGGAAGCATTACTCTCCTTAGCAAAGTCTAGCCTGTGGTTCTGCAGGTATCATGGTTTGGGGTATCCTCCCCAGTTGTAAAGAGGCAAGAATACAGTAGAGCCTTGGGTACAGAGGTACTGTGCACAGCCTCTCTACTGATAGCCGCCTAGAGTGGTCGTTCGACTAGATAGGCGGGGTATA